TTTCCCCGGTAACTGGGGTCTCTAGTTTTGATGGCTTACTGAGGTTCTGCAGCCTGGGTTGGCTGCCTCTCCATGATCACCTTCTCTGGAGACACTTAGGTTTCCTGTTACCTCACTCTGCAAAATTACTTCCCATCCTTCCATCCATGGACCGTGTTTACATTCAGTTGACCCTGGAACAACCTGAGTCTGAGCTATACAGATCCACTCAATACACAGATTTTTTTTTCTAATAAGTATACAGTCGGCACTCCATATCTATGGGTGGATATGGAGTGCCAGCTGTATTCCTTGTACTCTGCTGTTTTATGTAAGGGACTAGAGCATCTGGGGACGTTGGTATGTGGAGGCTCCTGGAACCAATCCCCTGCAGTTACCGAGCGACGACTAGATTCTGTTCCGAAGTTAGACAGTTCTAAATCCATGGGACATGCGTTTGCATTTTATTTCTCGTTCTTGGGGTTATTTGGGGCTAACTTGTAAAAGAAGATGACAAAAATGTTACTTTTCTATCATCTTGAAATCAGAAGTTTCTCTCCCTCCCTTCCCTTCCCCTTCTCTCTTGGTTTTGGAAGCAATGGCATCTGCCATTGATTAAGAAGTGGAAGAAAGTGATGAGTTAAAAGAGGAAGGCTTCTGGGAAGAGCTGCCTCTGCTGTTTTCCTGCTGTGTTCATAAAGCTGTGACTTAGGACACCTTTCTGACCCCAAACCAGGCCCTGTGGTAGGCACCTTTATTAGCTGTAATCCTTGCATTAATCCCATAAAGCAGATTTTGTTGTTCCTGTTTCATCCGTGAAGAATCTGAAGCTCAGCAAGTTTAAGAAATGAGCCCTAAGGTCACACCCCTTGCTCTTTCAAGGTCAAAACCAGACTTGTAAACCAGGCTTGCTTGACTCCGAAGCCATAGCTCCATTCAGCTCAGCACCACAGACTCCAAATACTCTAAAAAGTACAGTTCTTTCATGTTTTAAAAATCCTGATATATCTGGTCTAGGCCCCTTTGCAAAGGAAACCCCCGAGTAAATCTTGGAAAGATTTACTGTTTTACTGGAGCAAGTATTGAAATACATCTTGCCTACTAGCCCTGTAATTCTGCAGGCAGTGGCTTTTTAAACCTTTCTTTTCTAGACTCTGGTAACTCACAGCAGACAGCTGGATGATGAGATCTCTGTTATCTTCATTTTCCTGATTTAGTTTTTCCTTCCAACAGCTTTCATACACACTTGGTTGGTGGAATATATTTCTGGCTGCACTATTTTTATTTATGAATTTTTTATGTGTGTTAATATTCAGGGGTACCCAAGGGAAGCCTCCACAGACTTTCCTGATTACCAGATGTCACCCTTTCTATGCAACAACCATCTAATCGCCACTTCCTCTTGCCAAGAAATGAGAAAAGCATTTTTGCATTTGGAAAACCACACCAGGACACGTGAAGCGTATTAAGAAGGACTGTTTCCCCTGACTCTGCATGCACTCGTCCTGTCTGGGTTTGTTTTTCTAAAAGATAAAAACCACACAGCCGTGTTTGCATTAGAGTTAGATCTAAGAAGTGTCTGCGCTTGCATAACAAGGAGATTTTAGTTTGGCCGGAGCAACTTCATCATTACGTGAGTTGTATTGTAAGTAATCTCTGAAATGGTATAACATGTGTGGCCAGTGTTTATTTTGTTATACTTTGGACTCTTTCATTGTTTAAGTGGTGATTCATGATTGATGGCTGTTTACCATGCAAAATAATGCTGTATTCCCAGGAGCTCTGGGAAAACAGGCGGGTACAGTGGAGTCTCAGAGCGCTTTCCCTGGAGTAGGAAGAGAGTGTTAGTTACGCACTAAAGAAAAAGCAGCCAAGGGGAGCTTAGCTCTTCACTGAGCAGGTATTTAAATGAAGCAGTCCATCCTGAAGCTCAGATTTTCTGACAGAGTTCCATAGCCTTTGGAAAGCGTATCAAATCCCTATGTTATCATTTAATTTCACAGAAAGGCAAATGACAAGTGACTTTGGGCTCCACGTGTGGATGATCCCAAGCCCTTGAAGTGATTGGAAAGGTTAGAGTGCCCAAGTTTAATGTCTTAGATGTAGAAGAAGAGATTATAAGGATTTCATTCATTTGTATGAACTTTAAAACGCCGTAGAACATCTCAGAAACAATACCTTAGATGTGCCATTTAAGTAGAAACAGACAAACAGAACCATATGTTTAAATGTGGTGTTATACTTGACATATCAAAAACACATGCTTTGCCCCTGCATCCAACTTTCTCACGACTCACTCAAGTTTTAAATCATCTAGTACACTGCTCTTCCTCTGATGGTTTCCTATAGGACAGCCTCAAGGAGTACAGCAAGTAACAACCGTGAAACTTTCTGTAGGGCCAGTGTTCTTTTTGGTTGTTAGGATCTTTGACTTTTTTAAACCATGGAAAACTAGGCAGAGTTTATTTCATCGATTGTAAAGGTAGGTCTTAATACCTCTGTTTCAAATAATAATAATCATGAATTGATACCCCAGGGGCTTCTGTTGTCAAGTAAAATTATAATTCCATTGGAGATATTGGGAAATCATGTCTAATGGGAAGACTTTGGACATTGCCACAGATCATCTGTATCAGTAAATGACATACACATATGTATTTCTTTTTAACATAAAATATGTTCATGAGAGATTCAAAATTATCTATATTGAGTGGACTAGTACAGGCAGGCACAGGTATCATTTGTTGGGAGATGGGGTTGGGCTTAGCTGTTTCACTCAAGTCTGCTTTGGGAGCATCCCAGATGTCACTGCTTTTATAATGCAAGCCCACTTATTTTGCTTTTGAAATAGGATTACCTGTGGAATCCAGGCTGCACAAGAAATGTTGCAGGGAGGAATGAGGTGATATTGTGACCCAGTTAGGCATCAGAATGTTCTCTTAGTAGGTGTGATGTTTATAAATTGTATAAAATAGTTAATAAAAATCTTGTAAACTTTTAAAGCTTGGAGAAGAGATTGCCTAAGCTTCTCCTATGAGTGGTCATTCCCCTAGCAGACCAGTTCACAAAAATTGATTTTGCCAGTAAGATTACACTGACTTGTAAAAGTGGAAAATAATGCTAGTAAGTTATTTTTTACTAAGATGGGATGGAAAAAATACATTTGAGTCTGTCACATTCTTCTTAAAGAGACACGGGGCCTTGTCTAACCTGGTTGAAGGTTTTGACCATTTGATGAAAAGGAGAACTTGCTTTGGATTATACGTAAATGCCTCATTTTCCAAATCAGTGGTCTGTGCCCCTGGTTCATACACACAGATGACATGTTAACACAGATGGCATGGTAAGTTGCAGGTGATATCCAACTCCTAGCTGGTGAAGCATCTGTGACTTTTTCCCTTTCTGTTCCACCTGGAAGGCACATCCAGATGCAAATGAGAATGACGTTGCGATGAGAATAACCTTGAATCTGATTTATCTTATGGCTACAAAGAGTTTCTTCATGGAAGTTTAACCATCATAGTCAACTCAAAATATCTTGGTGCATTCTTGAGATTTGCAGACTCACAGTACTCTTGTTGATTCTTAGACTCTGAATTAATATAAGTTGAGTTGGAAGTGGTAAAGGGAAGCATACTTAGAAAGCAGCTGGGAGAGACAGGAAGGGAAAAGATGGAGGCTGGAGACATGGAGAGCTGAGATTTCCTACTTTTTCATTCATTACAAGTATATTTTCCTTTATATCATTGACCATAGTTGTCTGTCTGTGTCTAATAATTCCACCCTCTGGGTTATCTTAAAACTGGCACCATTGACAGTCTTTTTCCTTGAGAATGGGTCACATTTATACATGTTATTGAGACCCTGCATCCTGCTATGTTAATCCAAAGAGTATTGATATTTTTCTTTTAGCAGACAGTTAATTAGAACAAATGAACACTATTTGGCCTGTAGAAGTGGCAGCTCAAGTCTTCATTCAGCCCCTCCTATCTTCAGCTGAGATGTTTCGGGTCTGCCCCTCACACACATGGACGGAGGAGTGACCAGAGACTTGGACAGAGTTTATACACAGAATTCAGGGCTCTCCTTTCCAGGATTCCTTCTCAAATTCTCATGACTCTGGATGCCAAGGCTTCGTCCTCTGATCAGGCCAAAAAATACTGCAAGTTTTGTGTGTTTCTTTTTCTCGGACTTTAACTTCCATATGGCATCTGTGATCTGCATATAGAATAAAGCCCTGAAAAGCAGGAAAATTACCCTCTGTCAGCTCCTTGTTGGAAATTTCAGCTCACCTCCTAAATCTGTCTGCTTTTATTTACTCTCCAGGATCATCAGGTAGTTGTTTGCTTCTGTTTGCTCCATAGTTTATGGTTGTTATCTGCAGAGGAGGTTGGTCTTAGGAGGTCACAGTTCCATACCAGAGATGTGATCTCACCAGTGGAGATGTGCATTTTGAACACCGCTTCTGGGGCAGAGATGTAGGTCTCAGATGTTTATGTTAGTAAATGCCTGTTAGCTGTTCTTAAAATTCAGATAATTTGGGATTGTTTGGATACCTTATGTGGTCCAGGTCTTTAAAAAAGGGAGGGTGGCATTCAAATAACAGAATGCTTGGGCTCCAGTCCCAGGCTTGATAGTAACTAGCTGCCTAATTATAATGATTATAATCATTATGTTATGATTATTCTACTATTATAACCAGCTAATTATTAGCAAGTCATGTGAATCCTTGTCCTGTAGGATGATGTCCTAATCATCTAATATAAATTTCTTGGAGTCTCAGAGTTAATTCACTTCATAGGATCCAAAGGATTAATGCCATATATTGGGGAGGAAGAGGTGTGGTCATATGGTACTGATAAAATTTTTTCCTTTTATCTCAGATTCCCTCTACTCTAACTTCCCTTTATGCCTCAGTTCTTCTTAGGCACAAGTTATTTCATTCAAAACCACTAACTGAAAATACTGATATTTTTAATCTAACAGATCACGTTTAAAATGTGTTTTTGTTTGTCTCTTAGGAAGAAGTGCTGCAAGGGGTATAAATTTGTCCTTGGACAATGCATCCCAGAAGGTATGTGATAAAAGTCATTGTATCTTCTCACCTTGTTTATGACTAATCATCAGAGCTCTATAAAGTTCAGATGCACTACACATGATGTCTATATGTTATCTGTGCATGCATATGTAATTTCTCTCTTTTTTTGGCTTTAAATTCTTCTAATGCCAATTTGATTGTACATGGCAGGATCTAGCTAAATCATTACCCAGCAAATACACACATACTGGGTAATTCTTATATTTCAGGTTTTGTATTGTAGAGACTAATTCCCTACTTGGCATTTCATGCACAGTTAGAACACATCTATTCTTCCAACCTGCCTACCTGCTTTTCATCTGCTAACCTTGAAGCCCCTTCACATGATCATCAGCAAATACTGCTCAGCCCAGCACTGAGGAGACACAGTGATGGCAGACTTGGCCCCAGCCCTTAAGATGCACACCCTCAAGCTGGGCTGTGGATGGCGTGGAAACAGAGATGCCCAGGGTTTAATCATGCCTCCACATCGCCATACCCACATGGGCAGCTGTGACAAAATCCCCTCGGACTGTGCGGAGACCGGGAGGCCCAAGACAAGGCGCTGAAAGAGCCCAGTGTCTGGAGTGCGCGCCCTGGCTCGCAGCCGGGCGTCCTCTGGGTGTGCCTTCACACGGTGGAAGGGGCCAGGGAACTCCCTCGAGTCTCTCTTCTAAGGGCACAAATCCCACTTCTGAGGGCATCACCCTTCTGGTACAGTAATCTCCCCAAAGCCTGCACCTCCTAATACCATGATACTGCGGGATTAGGATTCAACATGAACTTCAAGAGGACACACACATTCAGTCTATAACCCTGCTAGCCATGACCTTGGGCATGTGACTTTCTAAACCTCAGTTTTTGCAGAAAATGCTAATTCTTGACTTGTGGTGCTTTTAAAGAGTATTACCACATGTAAACTGTTTGGAACAGAGGCTGACTCAGTGCTTGATAAATTGTGGTTGCTGCTATTACTGATAACTGCAATATGCATAATAGAGACACACATATTGCAGGGAGGGGGCACATAGCCCCAAAGACCAGGATGGTCACAGGTGGTCTCAAGAAGGAGAGGAGACTGGAGCTAGGTTATGAGGAAGGCAGGACTTAGACAAGGAAAAAGGGAATCGCCAAGGATGCCGGGCGGAACGCTGACCCAGAAGCACTAAGATCTGCTGGGAGAGCCTGAGCTTAGTTTGCCGGCACTGGGCTGGGCCGGAGGCAGGTGAGTAGGTGATAGGAAAAGGTTTTCTTCACTGCTGGCCAAGAATCCAGGTCTCTTTAGAGGACCTGGAGCTCAGCCACGCTAATTACATTGCATTATCTCATAGGGAGCAATTTCTTTATCAGTTAGAGTTAAATGAATCCTTCTTGTTTATTGCCCTGTTTTGCAGAAGAGTTCATTAAACCATAGCTGCTGACTCTGACAAAGCTGCTTTGGGAAGGTTGGTTAGGAAATTTCTTCATGTATTTTGGTTTATGTGGGTCTCTCCAAGACGGAATTTCTCACTGCCAGCGAGTTTTGTTAGAGCTTGGTGGGGAAAAAACCACAAAAGTCAAAATAATTGGGATCTTTTATAAGCAGCTTCTCTCAGTCACCAGCTGAGTCCTTTATATTTCAATTTGGTAGATATGGAAAGAAAATTAAGTCTTGGCCCATCAATTTGAGATCTCAGTTAAAGACCTTGCCCAACCTGATGAAAAACACATTACATGGACACCACACGCTTCGAGTTTCTTTAAATAATAGGTGTTGTGGTTTCTAACATCTAAGCCTAAAACCAGTCCCCCTCACTCCACAGTAAGACGCTATCGGCACCCAGGAGTAATTTAATTTAGAACTGAGTACTTCCAGGAAAAGTGGTCCAAATGCTGAAAGTTGCTTTGCCATAACTAGCTCTGTTCCATTGCTTTCCACTGGAACATTTTTTAAAGTTGATTTGTTTTCCTCTGTGGGACTAAGTCAGTGTGTGTTTGTTTGTGTTTATCACTAAAGAAATCTTTAATCATAAAGGTTTCTGTTTCCAAAGAATGCAAAGTGTAGCATTTCAGAAAAGATGGTGTATTAGTCACGATTCTCCAAAGAAACAGATTTATTTTAAGGAATTGGCTCATGAGGTTATAGAGGCATGCAAGTCCAAAATCTGCAGACTAGACCAGCAGACTGGAGATCTAGGGAAGAGTTACAGTTTGAGTCTGAAGGCCATTGCTGGCAGAAGTCCCTCTTTATTGATGGAAGGCCATCTGTTTTTTAATCTAAGTCTTCAATTGATTGGATGAAACCAAGCCTTAGTATGGGCAATCTGCTTTACTCACGACTAATTTAAATGTTAATCTCATAAAAAAAAAAAACTCCACAGAAACTTATAGAAAAATGACCAGATATTTGGGCACTGTGGCCTAGCCAAATTAACACTTAAAATTAGCCATCACAGATAGTAAAAGCAGACTAGAATTTCTAAACAACTATTCTAGGGAGGAGAAGCTGCAATTTTAAAAGTGTCATTGTCTCATATTTGTTTAAATTTTAGCAGCTTGTGTCTGTGGGCCACATGTGGCCCACCACTTGTGTTTGTAAATAAAGCTTTATTGAAACACAGACATACCCATGCACTTAAATATTGTCTATGGCTACCTTTGCCCTACAACAGCAGAGTTGAGTAGTTGTGACAAAGGCCCGCCTGCAAAACCAAAAGTATTATCTGGCCCCTTTACAGAAAAAGTTTGCCAACCCCTGCTCTAAGTGTTTTCTACATTGGCCAGATGATAGATGAATCAGACTTGTTCTGGTTCAGTAATTACTAATTGAGCACAAACTGTAGGAAGAAAACAGTGCTGGTTACTCCAGGGAAAACAGTCCCTGTCGGATATTGACAGTCAATCATAATGGTAGTAAAAGAAGCTAAACAGGTAAAGCTTTTACTTACTGTATCACTCAATTTAATCTTCCTCCAAGCAGCATGAAGCTGGTCTTAGCATTATCCCTGTTTTGCAGGTAAGGAAGTTGAGCTTAAAGACCTCAGGATCACAGAGACGGTGGCAGGTTGGGAGGGCTGGCTCCAGACCTTGTGCTTCTCCTCACGCTGTATCATGCCTCCTGAAATAGAGCCTGGCACACAGCAGGCCTTTGGCAGATATGGCAGAGCAGATCCAGTCTTGTGTGATCAGTGGGATACAGACACTAGACTCTGTGGAGGACTTCAAGAAGTCTTCTTAAAGAAGTGACATTTGAACTCAAGATCGGGAAGGCACAGTAATGAAATGTTGAGAGGAAGAGCAGAGGGTTGATTGGACGGAGAGGGTGAAAACAGAATACACAGAAGTGTTGGGGTAAGAAGATGAAAGTGGGAGAGGAGAGAGAAAAAGTTGGCTTAAAACTCAACGTTCAGAAAACTAAGATCATGGCATCTGGTCCCGTCAGTTCATGACAAATAGATGGGGAAACAGTGAGAAACTTTATTTTTGGGGGCTCCAAAATCACCGCAGATGGTGACTGCAGCCATGAAATTAAAAGACGCTTGTTCCTTGGAAGAAAAGCTATGAGCAACCTAGACAACATATTAAAAAGCAGAGGCATTATTTTGCCAACAAAGGTCTGTCTAGTCAAAGCTATGGTTTTTCCAGTGGTCATGTATGGATGTGAGAGTTGGACTAGAAAGAAAGTTGAGCAGTGAAGCATTGGTGCTTTTGAACTGTGGTGTTGGAGAAGACTCTTGAGAGTCGCTTGGACTGCAAGGAGATCCAACCAGTCCATCCTGAAGGAGGTCAGTCCTGGGTGTTCATTGGAAGGACTGATGCTGAAGCTGAAACTCCAGTACTTTGGCCACCCCATGTGAAGAGCTGACTCATTGGAAAAGCCCCTGATGCTGGGAGGGATTGGGGGCAGGAGGAGAAGGGGACGACAGACGATGAGATGATTGGATGGCATCACTGACCTGATGGACGCGAGTTTGATTAGGCTCCGGGAGTTGGTGATGGACAGGGAGGCCTGGTGTGCTGTAGTTCAGGGGGTCGCAAAGAGTCAGACACGACTGAGCGACTGAACTGAAGAAGCCATGGGTGTGATACGGGATGATGGGGAAGAGAGTGTATTCCTTATTGAAGCATGAAGAATTCATAAATGAGTCTTAAGGTTGGAAGTGTTAGTCTCAGGGATAGAATACCAGACCTCAAATGCAAGAGTGAGCCATTTATATATAATGTTAACGAGCACAGTTTGCAGGCTTTTTGAGCAAGGTGGTGACACACAGAGCTATGCTTTGAGAATAGTAGGGGCCTGGTGGTGTTGCATAGAATGGATTTAAGGGGCAAGAATCTTGAGATGAGAATTAACAAGGGAGGTTCTGAAGATTGGAGAAGGGTGACAAGAGAAACAAAACAAGTGAAAATAGAGAAATTGTAGCAATAAAGCTACATGGCAGAAAGCTGGTAGTCGCTGGAAAACCAGCATTACAAAGGCAAAGTTGAATAAATTCACTAGTCTTGCAACCTCCAGAAATCCTGCAAAATAGGTTGGGGAAAGATGTATGGTGGAGAGCAGGGGGTTCACAAAAGACACATAAACCCACAAAAACAAAGAAAAAGGAAGAGGAGAGAACACCAACACAGTTTTGGAATCTGGAGAACAGAGAGGGTGTCAGTAACATAAGCAAAATGGTCAAGCTGAATCCTTAACCAGCATCCAGGTAAACTAAGGAACAACCCAATTTATACCAAGACAAATAACAATCAGAGAAGCTAAAAGTTTCCTGAAACAGAGGTACTAAAAAGAGAAAAGTGATGTCAGTGCAGGAGAATTGACTGAAAATCTGTTTAAGAAGAAGTCAGACTCCCAGAACTTGTCTTCTATTCCACTGAGACAGAAATTGCCCCTTCCAAGAGCAGCAAAAGACCGGAGACGCTGATTCTTTTGAGAGGGTACCCAGAAGGTCCTGGGACTGTGGGTGCCAGTCAGAGATGGAGGCAGGGCTCTGATGCTGAAAATGGAAGGGTTTAGTAAAGCACTGCTTACACGTTAAACGTTGAAGCCCTCAGCCTTCTTCTCCCCGTGAGTTCCAGCATCAGGATTTACTTATCAGGTAAGGACTTGGAAATGTCTCTCTGGACATTCTAAAAAAGGCAGGGAAAAGTCCTAAAGAAACTAACATTGAAATGTACCAGCCAAATCATTTAAATGAAGCCCAGTGTTTACAAAGTCTGCTGCATGCAAAAAGCTTCTATCTAGCTGATATTGTAGCCTTCTATTATAGCTAGTTTTGTAGCTTCACTTCCATTTAGCTATAATTTTTTTTTACATTTTAGTTATTCTGTTTAACCATGAATCAGTTACAGCAGACGTCCAAACAAGATCACCACTCATTAGAGGAAAATCTACGATAAGAAACATACAGGGGGGAAAGTCTTAGAGAAAACACGGCACAGAAAGAAGACAACTTCAAAGTAACTGCCATTTATATGTCAGATACAAAAATGGTATAGCGCCAATGGGACCAGAACGTGATGTGATTAAAAAGAAACATTGAAAGAAGAAATAAAGAATCCTTGGAGATTAAAAACCTGATAAAACGAGAATGGGGGAGGGGCTGGGAGATGAGATTGTGAAAATCTCTCAGGAACGAGAGCTTGAAGAAAAAACAGATTGAGGAAATAAAAATTAGTAAAAGAAAAACTGTGAGACTGTTAGAGGACCAGCTCAGGGCATGCAGCATCCAAATGACTGAGTTCCACATGGAACAGAGGAAGAAGGGAGAAATCATGAAAGGGTAAGTCAAGATAATTCTCTAGAATTGAAGGATAGGGATTTCTAGATTAAAAGAACCTGCCAAAAATTGAAAGGGTCCCACATAAAGACATCATTGTGAGATATGAGTACCCCGGAGCAAAAAGAAAATACTAACTAAAGGAGAAAAAATGAGATTCATTCAAAAGATCAAGAATTAGAATCTCACAGGACTTAACACCAAGTCTAAAAGCCAGATGACAAGGGAGCATTTCCTTCAAAATTCTGAGGGAGTTTTCCAAACCTAGAATTGTATACAAACTAGCTATAGGGGTTGAAAAAAGGCATTTTTAGGCACAGATGCTTTCAGAACTTAAGACCCTCCTCGGTCTGTCTCCCTCGCACCCAGCTCACTCCTCAGCCCCATTCTCAGGACTTAATAATGTATGTACATACTTGAGATTCTTCTCCATTATAGATTATTACAAGGTTCTGCATACAGTTCCTTTTGCTACACAGTACCTCCTGGGTGTTATATGTAGTAGTCGGTACTGGTAACCCCACACTCCTGACTTACCCCTCCTCCTCTTTCCCCTTAGAGAACCACAAGTTTGTTTTCTGTGCCTGGAAGTCTGTTTCCATTTTGTAGATTTATTTGTCTTAATTTTTAGATTCCACACATAAGTGATATGTCTTTCTCTGTCTGACTTCACTTAGTACGATATTCTCTGGGTCCATCCATGTTCCTGCAAATGGAATTATTGTGTTCATTTTTGTGGCTGAGTAATATTCCATTGTATATACATACCACATCTTCTTTCCCTATTCCTCTCTTGATGGGCATTTAGAGTGCTTCCATGTCCTGGCTATTTTGAATCGTGCTATGAACGGTGAGGTGCGTGTTGTTCTTCAGTCGCTCAGGTGTGTCCGACTCTTTGAGACCCCGTGGACTGCAGCACGCCAGGCTTCCCTGTCCATCACCAACTCCTGGAGCCTGCTCAAACTCATGTCCATCAAGTCAGTGATGCCATCCAACCATCTCCTCCTCTGTCGTCCCCTTCTCCTCCCACCTTCAATCTTTCCCAACATCAGGGTCTTTTCCAGTTAGTCAGCTCTTCGCATCTGGTGGCCAAAGTATTGGAGTTTCAGCTTCAGCATCAGTCCTTCCAATGAATATTCAGGACTGATCTCCTTCAGGATTGACTGGTAGGATCTCCTTGCAGTCCAAGGGACTCTCCAGAGTCTTCTCCAACACCACAGTTCAAAAGCATCAATTCTTCAGCGTTCAGCTTTCTTTATGGTCCAACTCTCACACCCATGCATGAGTACGGGAAAAACCATAGTTTTGACTAGATGGACCTTTGTTGGAAAAGTAATGTCTCTGGTTTTTAATATGCATGTAGTCCTAGATAACTATTTTAATACCAGGAAAAACAAAAGAGTCTTCCAGAAAAGATAGGGAATTAGAGTATGCTTCCAGACTCAGCAAAAAAAAAAATCGTTTTTACATTGTCATTATGGTGCCAACACTGAAGACCTATCAAACAAAAATTTCATGGAGCTGACAGGGGCAAGATGGAGGCAGTAGGAAGTGTGGAGGTGGCTGGGGAAACAGTGATAAAGCTGAAGGCATCTCATCCAAGTCTAGAAACCCACGGAGAGCAGTTACCACACGGAGGAGGAGGAGGCACTTTTGCAGCTGATACTCAGAGACACAGGAAAACCGTGAAAGAACCAGCCAGGCGAGGTGGAAGGGGAGCTGGGATGGGGAAGAGAGCGGGGCCGCTGTCTTTCAAGGTCGGTCTCCTTTGGGCATAACAGTCAGTGCGGGACCCCAGCCCGCAGCCAATCCTGGCAGAGCCGTCGTTGTTAAGCAAAAAGGGCACAGAACGTGGGTCGCCTCGAGGTGATGCTTTGTTGAAGAAAACGCGTTTGACCAGGGACACACAGCCAAGCAATGGAACCACGTCTGCGGAGAGGAGCAATGAGCACGGGCCGCCTTCCACGCCGTCATGAGTTTGGCCTGATTCTGGTCTCGCTGACCCCGCCCGCATCAGGGCCTGACAGCCCCCGACTCCAGCTGAATGTGGCCGAGCACAGCCAGGCTCCCTCCGTGTCCGGGGCTGGGGTGTCTGTCAGCACCTGGGGAAGATAGTGCACTGATTAATGAGATGCTGGGTCTAGTCCGAAATAGATGCAGTCTGAGCTCTGGACTTAAAGCCAAGTCCCTTCAGAGGCTCATTAAACGTGAGTTTGTTTGTAAGGACTGAGAAAGATGGAGACGCCTTGATTCTTGGCGTCTTGATTCTTGGAAATAGAGCATCCGCCCCAGTTTGCACGGTGTTAGGGCTGGAAGGACATCTCCAGCCATTCGACCTTACCCAGCCGCCTCCCAGCATGCCGAATCGACACTCACCCGCCCGCCTGCCCACCCCCAGGCCACCCAGACGTCAGCCCCCTCACACTCCTCCTGGGAGCCTGCCTGACTTTCAGCACCTCCACCCCTCACATGGTGACGCGGACGCCCATCATCAGGGCTGGCTGTTCTTCCGTGTCCAGCTGGAAGGAATTCCCCTCTCACTACAGCAGCTGGTGGGAAGGAGGAAACGGGCCCCAGGTAATTCAGCAGCACCTGGCCGCCTAAGGCATCTCTGTTCTCTGGATGAGCGACAGAGACCAACTACTGCCGCAAGAACGAACACAACATGGTAAAGCAAATGTTCACCAATTAAAACAATGATCAGCCACTGAACTGCACACTATAAAAGGATGAATTTTGTGCTACGTGAATTATATTTTAAGAAAGCCATTCGATTTGAAAAGAAAAAGGGAAAGGCAACAAAAGAGAAATAAAAACTTTTGACCATATTGGAAATTCTCAGATCAATTTTTAGCAAGAATAAACATTAAAAATTTTTTTTAATAAACATGAAACTTTATCTATATATTGACCTTTTTAAAGTTATATGTGTCCAAGTACCCAAAGGAAAATCTCCTTTTACCCCAGGACCTGTGTATTTAGATTTGAAGATCTTTGAGCTAGATGAATTTGAGGTTACTTTTACATAGTAAGCACATACTACATAGATTGTTTGTGCCAATCAATAAGGTATTACAGTTTATAGTGATGCTCCTATAGAAAAAAACAATGATGGTGAAGTGATGCAGGGGAAAATTGCAAGTGCTATTTTCCTTGAACCTTTGAGATGCTGAACACTTGGTTACCCGTTGCAGCACTCCTGGAAGATTCCCTGTAACCTGAAGAATTCATTCCCCCTGCGCGTAGCAGGTCACGTCACAGTTCGCTGTGAGCTGAGAGCGAGCTGGAAAGTCTGTTTCCGGCCAGGGCGGCCCCCGCCTCGCAAGTGGCTGTGGCTGATGTGAGCTCGCGCTCTCCTCTTTCAGATTATGACGTGTGTGCCGAGGCTCCCTGCGAGCAGCAGTGCACGGACAACTTTGGCCGCGTGCTGTGTACGTGTTACCCGGGATACCGCTACGACCGGGAGAGGCACCGGAGGCGCGAGAAGCCGTACTGCCTGGGTGCGTGGGCTTGCGCGTCACTTCCCAGCTCCGAGGACGTGCCTTTTTCTGGTGATCCTGCTGGACAGTCTTCGTCAGTGGGGACCCCAGGGGCCACGTTGATCCCTCCTGTTACATCCTGGTACTTGTATGGATGGAGTTGGGGTGCTACTTACATCCTGGTACTTGTATGGATGGAGTTGGGGTGCTACTTACATCCTGGTATGTGTTGGATGGAGTTGGGTTGGTCCCGTTCTAGGGGTCACTGCCTCCACCATGATTATAAAAAAAAAAGGATCCTTGAGGGAATGGGTACCACTCAGATCCTCATTGGCAGTGAGATGTAAGAACATGAGAAGGGGAATATTATCAAATGAAAACTAGAATAAGGTTAACAAAAAAAGTATTAGTGAGCAGAAATGGGAAAATGCAGAGCGAGTGAAACGAGAAGCAGCCTTCTCTCAGAAGACAACTGGCAAGAGAGACTGGGAAGGAGGAGGGGTCCATACGGCAGACAGGCTGGAGATGGGTCGGGGGGAGCTGAAGCCTCCTGGGGCCCAGCTGAGCAAAGCCAGCACGTCCGTCCCCACCGGCTTGCTCCCGCCACCCCCTCTCACTGGGCTTCCCAGTGTCTGAGGCAGGGTGTCTGAGGCAGGTTCGTGGTCCCTGGAGCTGCTTGTATCTTAGTGTGGTCCTTCCATGGCTAAACTGTCTCAGAGACACCTGGGCTTCTTGCTTTAAAAAAAAAAAAAGTTTCCTAGTCTCCCCTCAACTCCCAAGGGTAGATGCAGAAATCTACATCTGCACAAATGCACAATGAAGTTTGAGTTTCAGCTCGAAGATGGAATGGGGAGACGGAAGGGAGATCTGAGTAGAAAATAAAGCAGTCCCCCTTCTCTGCCCCAGGGAGGCTCTGGAGAGCCTCATTTTAAGAAACGTTCTAGATGGTAGGTCTCCTGGCTTCTCCCCTGCGGCACCTGGGATGCCTCCCACTGACCAGGAATGGAGTTGAAACCACCCGGCTAAGAAAGGGGGACCCGTGGGCTCTCCTCTGGAGGGCGAGGTCCTCCCGTCGGTCAGCATCTGAGGTCCCAGGCGTCATGACCGATTCTAGTTGCGGTGGCTCTGGTACCCTGTTCTTTTCACCTGGGTACCAGCAGCGCTGCCTGCAGTTAAGAGTTCCACCTCTCCCTCTCCCCTTGCAACCTTGTCCTCCCTGCTGTGGACAGTAGAGGCAGCCTCGTCCTTGGGCTCGGGGCATGTGGACAGAGGTGGTTAGCCCAAGGAACTGCAGAGGAGGCGCCGGCCGTGACGTCTTAGTCCTCAGATGATGGCAGGAACTGCCAAGTGGGGAGCACCCAGACAACCAAGTGCCCCTCGTGGGCACACAGGGCCTCCTAGAGGTGGGTCCTGGGCAGCTGGTCCAGCAAGTGGCTGGGTCGCTGCCGGCATTCCAGAGCACAGGGCGGGGCCTCTCCTCTGGATGCATGTGCACAGTCTGGGGCTGTGTGTCCTGGCCCCGGCCCGGTGTCCACAGCCAATGAGCAGGAAATGGGGTCTGGGCCTCCCTCTCTCCTCCTGCTTGGAAACGGTGTGGTTCCCACTGGTTCAGTAGGGGAGCAGGTCTGAGACGTACATGGTTCACGCGGACTCTCACTGGCTCCTTGTTTGATGGGGTCGTGGCTCATTTCCACCTCTCAGGAGGGGTCTGTTTGGGTCATCGATGGGGCTGAGCTTTTCTGGGGAAAACTGTCCATTAGACCCACTGTGACTGTTTTCCTTTATCAGAAGCGGCTCTAACTAGGAAGGAGCCAGTGGCCTTAAGGAACCAGGTCACCACCATGCTGCCAGGAGCCTACGGTCAGAAAGGGATCATAAAAACCCTGCGCACACTAGGGTCTTGGTAGGAAGTGATTTCTATGAAAGTGGTTTTCCAAAACTTGTTGCCATCCGTTATCTCATTTCCTCTTCCAAAGAGCCCTACAGAGTGTTTAGGGCGGACTTCACTGCCGAGTCCTCCAGTGAGACCTTCAGAGGCTAGCAGCACCTGCCCCGAGCCCCGTGACTTGTGGCAGCATAGCCCCAACCAGGAGCCCCATCAACCATCAGTCTGTTGCCATGGTGACCTTGCTGGAAGTGCTCTTGTGTGGTCGGCCCACGTCTCTAGCTTCCCGCCTTCTCTCAGGCTCTGGTGACAGAGGTCTGGCAGAGTGTCCTTCACCAACATTAGCAGAAGGGCCAGGCCTCTTGGATCAGAAGTGGTCTCTTTGAGACTGAGCGTTCTCTGCATTTGGTTCAAACCCAGATATCGATGAGTGCGCCACGAGCAATGAGACGCTGTGCGCGCACGTCTGCGTCAACACCCTGGGGAGCTACCGCTGTGAGTGCCGGGAGGGCTACGTCCAGGAGGACGATGGCAGGACGTGCACCAAGGAAGACAAATACCCCAACGACACCGGTGAGTAGGGCAAGAGAAGCATCCTGCTAATGATTGACGGGTGAATGGACGGATGGGCAAGCAAGCACTAGGGAACCCATGAGTTTCCTCCAGAAGCTACAGGTAGGAAGTGGCATCTGTGTGAATGGCAGGTGGGATCTGGGTGAGAGGAAGAAAGGACAGAAGGTCACAACCCAGGAGACCCAGTGAACGGGGTGCCTGTTTGCCGCTAGGCTTGCGAGCTGCTCGTGTACTGGGAGACTCTGCACCCAGCACAGAGGGGGCGTGCTTGTGGACAGATGAGCAGGACTCAGGGCCCAGCTGAGACCAAACCATGAGGGACAGGGATGAGGCCAGACGCACTGGGTTCCCCCAAGGAATAAAAACACAAAGCGCTTCTGGGTGAGGCAGCAGTCCACCTCGGTGCTGCCCAAAGCAGAGCCTGTGGCCCCGTGCCTGTGTGGGAGTGGTTACGTGGTTCACGATCAGGTGAAAAACAGAAATGGAGAGGTGGAGAACCATTTTCTAGTCACTCGTTTTTATTGCCTTTAGCATGCCCAGTGGAGGCCTTTTAGGCATTGGCCTTTCTTCAGAGAGTCTGAGAAACTCATTTATATTCTTTTGGCCAGATTTAGCTGAGACGTCTGATGGCTTAGGGATGTGATCTGCCTGAGTGTTGGTCACTGCCCTCTGTAAGCGGTGCGGACAGAATATGGGGCCTTTGCATCCCGTATCCAACCCCGGGAGGCCTGGAAGCTGCTGGCATCTCCCTGAGCTCAGGGCCCGGCTCCAACCCCTCGGGAGGGGAAAGAGGCAGGAACACTCGTCTCTTTGGAGAGATCAGCTGGACCTGGGCCGTCTCGGACGGGGAGGGGGCTCCCAGGGCAAATCATCTGAACCGAGAACTGCAGGGAGAGGAAGGGACCAGGGCTGCTGGGAGCTCAGCAGGTAGTGCTTCTCCCGTGTAACCTGATATTCTAAAAAGGGTGGACGCTGTTGCCATCAGCTGGGGACAGCCAACAGCTGGTTACCAGCTGCCGGGCGCAGAAAAACTACAAAGCCGACCCTGAGAGCAGCCGGGGTGAGTCATGAGCCACCCGCCGTCTATCAGGAGTGACGTGAAATGTCTGTGTGGAGTCAGCGCAGGGTGGGCAATGGGGATCGTTGGACTCGATCAGAGGGCTCAGTGCAACGCTTTCTAAAGCCTGAAGTACGGGGGGCCGAGGTGCCCAGAGGTGTGGGAAAGCAGGGGCTCACAGTGTTTTGAGCATCAGGGTTGATTGAGAAAAGATGAATTCACCACGGAGTCACAGAGGACTCACAGTTGTTTTTCGTGTTTTACTGAGAAAAACGTTCCAACACCGGTAACCAAGGACATCAAGGGTATGAGCTGAGGGGAGTAATTAGTACCCATAATTAAAATTATGGGAAAGGACAGGCACATTCTATGCCTTGAACGTTAGAATCATTCCTTAAATGCTGGGCCCCTGAGGAGGTGGGGAGCTGGCTTTGATGATTCAGGCAATAAGAAGTAAGTGTTCTGGACTCACCTCTTCAGCGGCTGTGATGCAGCAGCAAGTTCCTTGGCTTGGGAGTCAGGAGAGCTGGTCATCAGAACATCTGCAGTGTCTAGCTGCTGGATGTCACTGCACAGGCAACCCTCCCGACCTCAGTTCCCTCCTCTGTAGACACAGGGGGTGGGGCTAGGTGAGCACTGAAGACCCTTTTACCATCACAAATCTTTTCCACAATTTGATGTGATTTCGACAAAGATCCATATAGTCAAAGCTATGGTTTTTCCAGTAGTCGTGTACCAATGTGAGAGTTGGAACATAAAGAAGGCTGAGTACCGCAGAATTGATGCTTTTGAACTGTGGTGTTGGACAAGACTCTTGAGAGTCCCTTAGACTGCAAGGAGATCCAGCCAGTCCATCCTAAAGGAAATCAGTCCTGAATATTCATTGGAAGGACTAATGCTGAAGCTGAAACTGCAATACTTTGGCCGCCTGATGCAAAGAGCTGACTTGCTGGAAAAGACCCTGGTGCTGGGAAATATTGAAGGTGGGAGGAGAAGGGGACGACAGAGGATGAGATGGTTGGATGGCGTCATTGACCCAATGGACATGAGTTCAAGCAAACTCTGGGAGCTAGTGAAGGGGATGGCAAGCACTCCAGTATTCTTGCCTGGAGAATCCTGTGGACAGAGCGGCCTGGAGGGCTGCTGTCCACAGGTTCACACAGAGTCAGACATGACTGAAGTGACTGAGCATGCATGCATGCATTGGAGAAGGAAATGGCACCCCACTGCAGTATTCTTGCCTGGAGAATCCCAGGGACAGAGGAGCCTGGTGGGCTGCTGCCCATGGGGTCGCAAAGAGTTGGACATGACTGAAGCTACTTCACAGCAGCAGCAGTGAAGGACAGGGAAGCCTGGCATGTGGTAGTCCATGGGGTCGCAAAGAGTTGGACACAGCTGAGTGACTGAACAACTAGAAAGCATCAGTAGAAGTAACTTAAGCCCTGCCAGCCCCATGAGTCCCTGAGCAGCTTTTGTTTCTTTGTGCTTTTATCTAAGTGAGTTCAAGACTCGAAGGCATGCCTGGCCTCAGCACCTTCTAAACCCAGAACTTTGTTCTACAGTATACCTAAAAGATGAAGAATTATCATCCAGATATTTAGCTCAGTGGTAAGGAAAGTTAGGAGCCAGACCAGCCCCACATCTGGGACGCCAGAGGCTGCTATGCAGTTTCATCCCTTTTGGACTAATTCTTAAGCCCCATATTTCATCACAGTCATTTTTCTTTTGAAGAAGAGATAATGATGGAGTATAAACATGTGTGATCTAAATTTCTCTTCCAAAATCCACTCCCCCGACCCCGCCTTTTTCTTTAAACTTTGTGTTGTCTGCTGTCTGTAATGTTAGAGGAATTTTAAATTGACCACAGCCTCAGCTCATCCTTCAGGAAGTGCGTAGACAGCAGAAGGGCTAGCCTTAGAATGGCTTCTGCCCATGGCAGGGTGGTCGTGTGCCCACAGGCGTCGGGACGCAAGCATCTGGCCAGTAGGCAAAAATGGCACACTCCACCACTTTGATCTTTATCTCTTTTCAAATGTGTGTCTGGAGCCAGTGACGTCACCCCCAGGACATCTGTGGTCCCGATGCAGAGACACGGACATGCTGGCTCCATTGTAATTAGCTTGCTGATCTCTATTTTTCAACTTCTGTGTTTTTCTTTTTTTTTTTTTTTCCTGATAAAGTGACCTTGACCCCCAACATCACTTATTACAGGAATGGCCAGGTGTTTCATATAACTTTCAGGCTCCACTAATCCACAGATCAGCCGTTCTCAACCTGAGGAGCTTTCAAAGGCTGATGCCGTCCCCTTGCTGTGACCCCCAGATGGGTGGGGTGCACTGTGGTCTTCAGGAATTTTAAACAGCCCCCCGCCACCACCCTAGCCACCAGAATTGAATACTACCCACCAGGCCCAAATCTGCAGTCAGCGTTTAAAACCACATGTATTTGGTGACTCTGCCTGTATGAAATATGTCAAGACCATTCTTTAGTTTTGCCAAATTTGTTAAATATTACTAATACGGTATCTCAGGAATTCTGTTTATAATGCTATGTACAGCTCCCTCAACTTAAGTAAAAATTAGAGCTACCCGCCCCCCTGTGGCTTGTCGATAATACTGCATCTTTGAAATCTAAAGGCTTTGGAGCAGGGTAAAGGATGGCTCTCTTAACGTGGTCGTGGTCAGACGCGTGACCCCATCGTTAATGGAGAACATGGAGAGCCAGAGATGTCTACCCACATTTCTAAAAGAATTACTAATGTAGCCTGCTCAGCATTTTCTTAGCTCCGCATCTTACTGTATCCTGCATTAGAATAGGATACATGAGCTCCAATTCAGGATAGATTGCATGTTCTGTGTCTGCACACACCATTATTATCTTCAAACCCTCTGGAAGCTCTTTTCAAAGGATGATGCAAAGAGCCCTCCCTTGATCTGTAATTTTGCAGGAAACTTAATAAACGACGATAACCAACCATGACAATGATACTAACATTTCTCGGGTGCTTGCCGGCTGCCAGGCACTGCTCTGGTGTCTTACGGGGGTGTCTCCTCGATGCCTCGTGGCAGCCACAGGTGATGGTGGTTATGGTCGTTTTACCAGCCCAGGAAGGGATGGTCACCAAAGCTGTGACTTAGAGTCAGCAGCAGGATTCGAACCCTGATCGTCCGACGCTGCCAAAGCCTCCGCTCCTTACTCTGCCCCTCCGTGACTATGGGAGCTTCCAGAGGCTTTGGGACAATGTTGCCCTTATTTTCTGAGGTGTCGTAATTACACAAAGGGACAGGGAACAGGCCAGGGATTTTCAGGTGAGCGGTCGTTCGGCGGAGCTGTTTCCCTGGAGCGGGGATGCTGCACTCGCAGGAGCTTCAGAGTTGCTTGGAGACTTTGATGGAGAGTCTCCATCACCAGGCCACACTCCCAGGATCTGGGAGCTCTCAGAACCCGTATGCTGCTGCCACGCTGGTCTAGTGATCACACGTGAGAATCACTGCCCGGAGCCCCCCCAGCAGGCTGCTCTCGGGTGTCCTGAGCAGAACCCCCAGCAGCAGGCTTACTGCACCCCCAGGAGTGCCCGCTTCAGACCCTGGAAGTACTGGTCCTCTGCACACGGCTTTCTGGGAAACCTAGACCAAATGACCGTCCTTCTCTGCATCTTACTTTCCTTATCTGTAAAGGAGATGGAACTAAAGATGTATCGATTCTAACATTCCACGATCTGAACGAAATAGTGTCTAGAGCCTGGTAAAGAGGTTTATTATCCTGAAAATATCAAGTGGCCTTAATCACACCGATACTCAGTAAGTTTAGTTGAGTGTATAAAAATAGAAATGGACAGGTGGGCTTTTAACTCTTGTTTGTGATGGACCAGTTCTGCCAGCAGGGCTGGTTCCTTAAAAGAAAGGTTGATCTCAAATCATTTATTTTACACTGTCGGCACCTCATATGGGGCTCGGTAAATAGATGTTCCATAACGGATAAGAGGGAGAGAGAGATGGATGGATGAGAGATAAGTGGGCGGGGAGATGGGATGGATGAGATTGATAGATGTGTTATCGGATGGGGCTGCATATATTGACCTGTAGGTGGGTTAAAAGGGATGAATGCTAACTTGGGAGAGTTGGATGTCCTCCAGCTGTCCTTAAACCTAACAGACCTGGAGCCAAGGTCATCTTCCTGCACAGAAGACCACCATCCTCTGCCGTCAGCACGACCGAAGGTGGGCAAGGCTTCAGTCCTTTACCACCAAGCATCTTCGTGCATGAAAATTCCATCCCATCCCTATTTTGCTGGAGATAAACTAGCTCTCCTCCGTGTTCAAGCTATGTGTGTTCAAGCTCCATGGGCAAGTGGACTTGTAAATGGTTCATTAAAAGGGAATAAAGAGTCTGAAGGGACTTGCCTGGCTGGGCTCAGATTCAGGAAATCTCAGTTCTAAACCCACATCAGTTGATGACTTGCTGGATACCTCTCCTGACATCGCCGAACCTCAGTTTTCCCTCATTTTGTTGTTCATGTTAATCCCAGAATCCTTGACAGTTTTATCAGGCAAAAGGAATTCAAAAGAGCTTGGGGGGCCTGAAGCCTCTGCCAGACACCCTCTCCTGTTGACTAGAACCTAGCCTTGTGCTGAGGATTTAATAGGCGTCACTGCAGTCCGTCCTCACAATAGGCCTGGGTCATAGGAATTACTGTTTCAGTGTCATGGTTGACGACGTCGGGGCTCATGGTGGTGAGATCATTTCCGCGAGGTCCCCGAGCTAGTGGCAGAGTTGGGGTGCACACCCCTATGCTGACTGAGGAGGTCGTGCCCTTAACCGGCATTTCACCAGCTCTACTTCACCTTCTCCAGACGAAGACCTTTCTCACAGCTCGTTGTGACGCAGCTGTGATGTGAGTGGAACCGGTCTCCCGCGGGTACCGACTGAGCGTGGGGAGGTGGGGAAGCTCCTGGTGGGACGGAGTTAGCCTAGAAGACGGGGATGAGCAAGCAACCCTGTTACATCATGCGCACGAAAGATTTAGAAAGAGGCTGCCTTGGTAAAGAACCCGCCTGCAATGCAGGAGACCCCGGTTTGCTCCCTGGGTCGAGAAGATCCGCTGGAGAAGGGATAGGCTACCCACTCCAGTATTCTTGGGCTTCCCTGGTGGTTCAGAAGGCAGAGTCCGCCTGCAATGAGGGAGACCTAGGTTCAATCCCTGATTTGGGAAGATCCCTGGAGGAGATCATGGCTACCCACTCCAGTACTCTTGCCTGGAGAATCCCCATGGAGAGAGGAGCCTGGTGGGCTACAGTCCATGGGATCACAAAGAGTCGGACATGACTGAGCGACTAAGCCACACAGCATGAAGGCTGTGTAGATGCTGGATCGTGTCACCATTTAGCATTTCCTTAGAGAAATGTGATTTTTCAGAAAGCTCACGGTGCTGCCAATGCTCTACAAGACAGCCCTGGGACCTGCCCGGGGCCTGTCCCGTTTGGCCCTGGATGGGCTGTGCCCAGGCGCCTGGCGCGTCTTCCATGGATGTCACGTCTCAGCGCCCAGTCCTGGTCTGGGACGCCGTCTAGCCTGGCCACGCTCCCTTTGAACAGCTGGGTCATCAGAGGTGATCCAGTCCAGCTTTGTGAGCGCTGCCCCGAGTCCCGTCACCTGGGTTTGGGGTATGATTTGTGGCTTGTGAACGCTGGCTCTTGGAGGGAAGTGTAAGTCGTGTCGGGTTGATAGAGCCTGCCTCGTGTGAAAGGGCCACGGCTCACCTTTTCACACGTGGAAGAGGAAGGTGCTAGGGTGACTAAGTGGGAACAGCTGAGCCCAAAGTGTAGGGGGGTCCCCTCCGCTGACCCCGTGAGCCAGGCATGCCATCGGCAACCCGAGAGGTATAAAACCGCCAGCCTCCATCCCTTGCGGAGTTTAGCATCAGCCGGCCCACCGGGACCACCCCTCCTGATGTGGTCTCCTGGGGTCTGGATGCCCGCAGCCTTGCAGGCAGACTCGAGTCCATCTCCTCCCTCAGGGCACGACGAAAAGGCGGAGAACGCGGTCCAGGCCGCCGCCTGCTGTGCCACATGCAAGGAGCTCCACCAGGTGAAGGAGACAGTGCTGCAGCTGAAGCAGAAGGTATGTGCCACGCGCGCTAGAGACCAGCGCGTGAGACAAAGGGAGGTGGCGGGGCGTCTGGGAGCAAGAAGAGAGTGTCCGCCACGGCTTGGCTGGGTATTCCCTGAGGTTGGCGCCAACTAGGTTTGGACTGGAACGCTTTGCCCAGCCACCCTCAGGGCTCATTATAGTTCAACAGAACAGCGAAGGCCGGGGGTTGGTGGTGGTGGCCGTTCCATTGCTCTGTCGTGTCTGACTCCTTTCAACCCCACAGACCGCAGCACGCCAGGCTTCCCTGTCCTTCACCAACTCCCGGAGCCTACTCAGACTCATTGAGTCAGTGATGCCATCCAACCATCTCATCCTCGGTCGTCCCCTTCTCCTCCTGCCTTCAATCTTTCCCAGCATCAGGGTCTTTTCCAATGAGTCAGCCCTTTGCATCATGTGGCCAAAGTTTTGGAGCTTCAGCTTCAGCATCAGTCCTTCCAATGAGTATTCAGAGTCGATTTCCTTTAGGATGGACTGGTTTGATCTCCTTGCTGTCCAAGAGACTCTCAAGCGTCTTCTCCAGCAGCACAGTTCAAAGGCAGTGACTAGTAGAATAGACTGCTGGGTAAGGGGCCCAGGAGAATCGGAGAATGAACTGTGATTGGTGCGGCTTTTTGTGAAATGAACATCCCGACGCGTGGCCCTCTCCCGATTCTAAATAGGCTAGTGTGCAGTCATCATTTGCCTGTGTTTTATCAATAGAAAACAGCTTCTTTATAAACTTCCACGGCTGGTGATGAATTTCTGTAGCAGCTTTATTTTTCACATTTAAAAGTTAGAGCCTGTACGTTGGGCTCCACGCACCCGGGAAAGCAATGACTTGAGGACCTTGTGTCACCGAGGGAGAGGACTGACTCCCTTTGAGGCTCCCACGCATGCCTGATGGACCAGGTTTCTAGTAATGTAATTGTGCTGAGAGGAATGCCCCTGGGGGAGGGGGCGGTTAGAACCCTGAAATCCTGTCGCAGGCCCAGGTCGATGGTGTTTATTATACCTGAGGTCAGTGAATTCACCAGTCTGTCAGCAGCTCAGAAATTGCTCTTCTGCTGGTAAAACATAAACTTGCTAGTTTGTTTATTTAATTGCTTCCCCTCAAGGCTCTTAGTACATCAAAGAGGTGTGTGTGATCTGTTTAACTTTGGCATCTAGTTATTGTAAAGGGCGAAAGAGTAAGATTAGGCAGTATTGCTTTTCTGTGTTCAACAGACATGCAGGCATGTGAGATCCATAGCTTCCCGTGAAACAGGCAGGGCAGTAGGCTGAGATCAGTGGCTTTGCTGGCTTGTGGTACCCTGGTGGTGAAGGTCTCACAGTTTCAACAGAAGCATGTATGTGTGTGATGTTCCAGTTCCCAAATAGCTTGTAATCTGATGTACCAGGCAGAAAACCTTCTAAGTACATCGGTGTAAATTCAGAGTTCTAAATAATACTCCCCACACAGACATCCTCAGGTTGAAACTTGGATTGGTATCAGTATTTACCAAGTTGAGTCTGGAAAAGAGTTCGTGGATGAAGTTTGCATTTCATAGGCCAGAGGATTCGGGGCTGAGGGAGGCAGGTGATGAATGATGGAAGTCTCAATGCCTAATGCTACCCTCTGTTTTCTTCTCTGGAGAATTAATAATCCAAAAGCTACGGAGAAGCTCCTCCTAGCCTGAGTGATTTTTAGAGTCAGTGCTGCTGAGTCTCTCCGGTCCAGAGACTCAGTTGCTAATTCACCATCTGTCTTTCCCCTCACCTCCCTGCAGTGTTTTATGATCCATGAAAGAAGAAATATTATGAAGAACTTGAAATTCTATGTTCCCCTTAAGGCCCTTGTGGGTGAGCTGCTCACAGATCCAGCAACAATGCCTGTTAGCCCTGCAGTGGCTCTCAGGCGTGGGACTTGGCCTGGAATTGGTCTGTCTTATACCGAGTTCTCCTGAAGGTGGCTCCGTGGTAAAGGCTCTGCCTGCCAATGCAGGAGAACCCAGGTTCGATGCCTGGGTTGAGATAACCTCCTGGAGGTGGAAATGGCAACCCACTCCAGTATCCTTGCCTGGAGAATCCCATGGACAGAGGAGCCTGGTGAACTACGGTCCCTGGGGTCACAGAGTCGGACACGAGTGAGCAAGTGAACGCGCACATACCGAGTTCTACAAGCCCACTGTGGCAAGTCTGAGCTAAAACTGACGTTAAAGGAACTTCACAAGGAACAAGCCTTTTTTTTAAATTTTTACCTATTTACCTCGTTTTTGGCTGCGCTGGGTCTTCGTTGCTGTGCACGGCTTTCTTTGGTTGCTGCGTGAGGGTCTCTCATTGCAGTGGCTTCTCTTGCTGTGGAGCACGGGCTCTAGGAAACGCGGCTTCAGTAGTTAGAGCACAGGCGCTTGTTGCTCCGCCCGCTGTGGGATCTTCCCTGACCAGGGATCGAACCCATGTCCCTTGCATTGGCAGGTGGATTCTTACCCACCGTGCCGCCACGAACGTCCGGAGCAACGCCTCCTTAAAGGTGCCTAGGAGATGTGCTGTATTCTGTAGTTGATGAAGCGGTTTCACAGCCAGGATCCCGTTTAATTCTCACGGCGATACCACATTGTCAGAGAGCTGCAGTCCCTGCCCGGGAGGCGGAGCAGACCCTCATTCGAGGTCTCCTGACCCCTCCCCCCGCGCTGCCGCGGGGCTGTCGGTCGCGTGTTACCCTCCTCTCACTACTGTGATACCATCTGTTCTGTTCGAGGGAGAGCGTGGGACAGCTGCCCACATACACCTCGGCTCAGAAGTAGCTTACCAGGTGTCCTGGACCGTGGCCAACCCCACGGTGTAAACCGTGGGCAGATGGCTTGAACGACACCGTGAGGGTGCAGTCAGTGAAATCCTGACCGTGGGAGACTCTGCAGGGCCCATGCTCTAGGCTCCTGATGGGCTGAGGCTGAGGACAGGAAAAGTGGGGTGGCCCTGCAGGTTAAAGCAGATTAAAAGATGCCTTGTCTTTTTAAGTGGGCAAGCCTAAACCGTAGCATCTAGGCCTGCACAGTTGGGTCATAAATTATTTTTTAAAGCACAGGAAGTGATTAAAATCAGGATAGTAGCTACTTTGCGGGGAAGGATGGGTGATTGGGTCAGGGACTGTGGACAAAGTTCTGGATTTTGACTTAGGTGTTCATTAAAAGGGTGTTTGTGTTATAAGATTTCACTGAGATACAGATTTGTGGGGGTTTTGTTTTGCTTTGTTTGGGTAAATTTTTTTAATTTATTTGTTTCTGGCCACACCAGCACATGTGGGATCTTAGTTTCCCGACCAGAACTTGAACCTGTGCCCCCTGCATTAGAAGCACAGAGTCCCAACCACCAGACCACCAGGAAGTCCCCAGATTCTGCGCTTTTATTTTCCAATTAAAAATGTTTTTTTGAAAATGGTGTAACAATTCAATCATGTAACTTGCAGGGAGGGGTCTCAGGCCCATCAGAACACTGAAGAAAAATCTGAGCCAGGAGACCAGTTTTTTAATTTATGATGTTTTTTAATGATGTGGAGAAATTATTTTTTTAGGTTTGACTTTTTAACTGAAATATAGTTGATTTACAATGTTGTATTGGTTTCAAGTACTCAACATCGTCAGTATTTTTATTGGTCATACTCCATTTTGTTATTATGAAATATTGGCTATGTCTGCTGTGCTGTATCATGTGCTATTATAGTTTGTTTGTTTTATTCATAGTAATTTGTGCTTCTTTATCCCCCACCCTGTCCCTCTCCCCAGTGGTAACCGCCAGTTTGCTCTCTGTATCTGGTAGCTTTCCATCTTGTTCTATTCGTTCATTTGCTTTATGCTTTGGTTCCACCTGTAAGTGATCACAGGGAGTATCTGGCCTTCTCTCACTTATTTCACTTAGCACAATGCTCTCCTAGTCTATCCATGTCGCTGCAGATGGCAAATTTTCATTCTTTTTTGCATATCCAAAGAAAACAAAGGCTCAGATGGTAAACACACTTCCTGCAACGCAGGAGACGTGGGTTCAATCCCTGGGTCAGGAAGATCCCCTGGAGAAGGGAATGGCTACCACTCCAGTATTCTTGCCTGAGAAATCCCATGGACAGAGGAGCCTCATGGGCTACAGCCCATGGGGTTGCAAAGAGGCAGATATGACTGACCAACTAACACTTTGAAAGAAAACAGAAACGCTAATTCAGAAAGACACATGCCCGCCCAGTGTTCATAGCAGCATGATTTACAATAGCCAGTGGAAGCAACCTAAGTGTCGATCAGCAGACGAACGGATAAGGAAGCTGTGGCGTGAATATATGTACACACACACAGACACAGTGGAAGGAGCAAGTTTTTAACAGGCCCCTCGTGTCCCTGTAGCAGAGACGATCTGAGGTGAGGCCGCATTGTTGCAGAGCAGTCAAGGGAAGCGTGTGAGTTCGGTGAATGCCTGCCGTGGCCTGTGACAGGCTGGGACATGATGAATGACAAGAAGGCACAGGATGAAGATTTGCCTTAAATGAGCTTCTTGTCTTAGCTGAGAAACAAGCCCACGGAGGAAGTCAGCCCACACGGCCGAGTGGGGTGGTGCCGGCAGCCGAAGCTTCAGAAGCTAGAGACCAAGGAGGTTTCCCACGCGCAAGCAGCTTTGCAAGCCAGCGGCTGTGTTCGCTCGCTGCCTTTTGTGCCAGCAGATGAAGGCTTCTCAATGCTTTCTTCTGCTGCCTCAGTCTAGCTGCTCTGTACAATGGGTCTTCTCGGGAGGCCTGGGAAGACTAATCCATATGAAGTGGGCTGCAGGTTGCTTTGCCAAATATGAGTAATAAGAGAGGCAGCTGCATGTTGTGGTGAGGACCACAGATTCCAGAAACAGGCGGGCTCAGTTTAAGCCCTAGCCCCACTACTTTCTGGCTCTGTGACCCTGGGTAAGTGACTTAACCTGTCTGTGTCAACAGTTCTAGAAAAAGAAGATAACAGTAATACGTACTACATAGGACTTCATAATCATCAAGTGAGTAAGTGTTTATAAAGGGCTTAGAATAGTCCCTGACACCTAGAAAGAGCTCTGTAAATGTTCTCCAGAATATAAGAAACGTGAATTATAAGTGCTAATAAAGTGCTTTACAGGCCGCACCTCATTTGTCCCAACAGCCCTGTGAGGTAGGTGCATTATTGCGAAGGCTAGCATGAGATACTGATACCTATAATTCCACTGACTGATTGGAATCCACGAGAAATGCAGACTCTTCTTGCAAACTTCTTCCCAAACACCTGCGCCCCCTCAAGCCCGCCATATGCTGTGTGTATGTGTGTGTAGAACGTCAAGCCAGGATTTCCAGACGACTGCCTCCACGACGCCAGCACCTTTACTTTCTGCTCATCCTGCGGACACTTAGAGGTCTAACTGGCAGGAGCTTGGAGGTAATTACCCAGCAGGAGGTCAGCCAGGAAGGTGAGGTCGATGTTGACGGGGTCACCTCATGAACTTTACAAGGAAGCAAAGAAAGCTGGACAGGGCGTGGAGTGGGCTGGGCTTGGTTATGACGTTTTCATCCAAAGACTTGCTGGTCTGGTCCGAACCTCTAGTTTTATAGACGTGAAGATGAGAACCTGGAAAGGCGAAGGGACCTACCCAGAATCACCCCGCTACCTACAAAGAGCCAGGAGCAACCCCCACCCCCGCACCCCACCCCACAGAGCGTCAGCACTGTGTCTGTGGCTGTAGTTTCTGGCGATTATAGTCTGGGCGCTGAGCCAGGCACATTCAAGACTTTCATCACTTTCATCCTCCCAGCAGCCTTTCTTAGGTGGATATTATGATCCTTGTTTTATAGACGAGAAAATCAGGTTCTGTAGCTTGCCAGGATCCCGCAGGTAGATCGTAGCAATTTGTTGCTGTTCAGTGGCTCAGTCGTTTGCAACCCCATGGCCTGCAGCCGCCAGGCTCCCCTGTCCTCCACCATCTCCCAGAGTGTGCTCAAATTCCAGTGCATTGAGGCAGTGATGCCATCCAACCATCTCCTCTGCTGCTGCCCCTTCTCCTCCTGCGCTCGATCTTTCCCAGCATCACGGTGTTTTCCAGTGAGTCAGCTCTTCCCATCAGGTGGCCAGAGTACTGGACCTTCAGCATCAGTCCTTCCAATGAATATTCAGAGTTGGTTTCCTTTTCAGTTGACTGGTTTGATCTCCTTGCAGCCCAGGGGATCCTCAAGAGTCTTCTCCAGCACCACAGCTCGGAAGTATCAATTCTTTGGCACTCAGCTTTCTTTACAGTCCAACTCTCACATCCATACGTGACCCCTGGAAAAACCATAGCTTTGACCAGGTGGACTTTTGTCGGCAAAGTGATGTCTCTGCTTTTTAGTATGCTGTCTAGGTTTAACATAACTTTCCTTCCAGAGAGCAAGCATCTTTAATGTGGCCGGACTGAGACTTAAACATAGATCTGCCTGATGCCGAAGCCCACACGTGAGATTCACATTTCCGTTTTCCTCTTGGAAGTGGATAAGAACATTGCCCCAGCCTTCAGGGGCCAGTGTTGCCCCCTCTGTCCTCTCATCAGAAAACTTTTGCTTATAAATTCCCTTCGCTCAGGGGTTCTGACCCTCAGAAGCACAATCTGCCCTGGATTTTACACCCCTGAATCAGCTTTCTGGAAGGAAGAGGCTAGAACTGCCATTTACCAAGCACTTAGTATGGATTCCCCTGGTGGCTCAGACAGTAAAGAATCTGCCTATGATGTAAGAGATCTGGGTTCAATCCCTGGGTGGAGAAGATCCCCTGGAGAAGGAAATGGCCACCCACTCCTGTACTCTTGCCTGGAGAATCCCATGGACAGAGGAGCCTGGTGGACTGCAGTCCAGGGGGTCACAGTCAGACACGACTGAGCGATGGACGCTTAGTCCCCACTTACGTGTTCCAGCTCCCACTTACGTGTTCCAGCTCCCACTTATGTGTTCCAGCTCCCACTTACATGTTCCAGCTCCTCTCCTGGGCACCTGATACACACTGGTGTAATCCTCCCAGTTCTAATGGCGGGTGTTTTCCATGAGGAAATGGATGTTCAAAGCATTTAGTTCTTACCAAAGGTCTCACTGATTCCTGGCCTTGAGGAATGCAAAAATCATTCATGTCTGAGGTTCCTCTGGCTTCTCATAGAATGAGCCCCTGAAATCAGAGAGAGAGAGCAGGAGATCCAACCAGTCCATCCTGAAGGAAATCAGTCCTGAATATTCACTGATGGACTGACGCTGAAGCTGAAACTCCAATACTTGGGCCACCTGATGCGAAGAACCGACTCATTTGAAAAGACCCTGATTCTGGGAAAGATTGAAGGTGGAAGGAGAAGGGGAAGACAGAGGATGAGATGGTTGGATGGCATCACTGACTCAATGGACATGAGTTTGAGCAAGCTCCGGGAGTTGGTGATGGACAGGGAGGCCTGGCGTGCTGCAGTCCATGGGGTCACAGAGTCGGACATGACTGAGCGACTGAACTGAACTGAACTGAGTGGGCAGGGTGGGGGTGGGGACGGGGGCACAAAGTCTTTTAAGACCTTGTCTCAGAGGGCGCACACCATCGCTTTTGTCTTTTTCTGTTCATTAGGCACCTAAGCACAGCGGGTGGAAATTTAGTATTCATCTTTTAAAGGGCTTCCCTCGTGGCTCAGATGGTAAAAAAAAATCTGCCTGCAATGCAGAAGACCCGAATTTAATCCCTGGGTTGAGAAAGATCCCCTGGAGAAGGGAAGGGCTACCCACTCCAGTATTCTTGCCTGGAGAATTCCATGGACGGAGGAGCCTGGCGGGCTACAGTCCATGGGGTCGCAAAGAGTCGGACATGACTGATCGACCAACACTTTTAAAGGGAGGAGTGCCCTGACATTTGAGGACATGTTTTAAAACTGTCTCAGTCACTGTTTCCCAACCAGCTGAGCCTGCAGGTGACCTGTGAGCCATGTTCTCCTGGCTCCCAGGGCTGAGATCTTTCAGAGCCGGGACCATGCCTTGGTCACCGTCGTCGCCTTAGAACTGAGCACAGTGCCTGGCGTGTAGTAGTTTCTCAAATATTTGATACATAAAGAGCTTAACAAGCTGAAAGCCTGAAGCAGATTGACTGTGATAATTACGATATTCGTGAGTTCAGTGATATTCAGGCAGACTGGAGCCGATCCAGGGTCACCCTAACTAGGCAGCTGAGCGATCTCAGGCAAGTTGTGTTGAGTGGAAGGCCTCTGGGTTTAGAAGGAGGATCTCTCCAGCCCTTCTGGCTCTGACGGGTTTGGATAAGGGGAAAGGAGCCGGGACAGGCTGTGAAGCCTCTGCAGACAACACGAGCGCAGTGCGCCGCCTGCCTGCAGTGGGACCGCACCATCTCCTGACCCAGGTCCCTCTTCTCGTTGCAGGTTGCCCTGCTCCCCAACAGCGCTGCCGACCTGGGCAAGTACATCACTGGTCACAAGGCGCTGGCCTCAAACGCCTACCTTCCGGGTCCTCCTGGCCTGCCTGGGGGCCAGGGCCCCCCTGGTGAGTATGAACATAAATGTGAGCGTCACTCAGCCGTGTCCGACTCTTTGCAAGTCCATTCACGGTCCATGAAATTCTCCAGGCCAGAATACGGAAGCGGGGAGCCTTTCCCTTCTCCGGGGGAATCTTCCCAACCCAGGGATCAAAGCCAGGTCTCCCACATTGCAGGCAGATTCTTTACCAGCTGAGCCACCAGGGAAGTGAGTGTGAATAGGAGCATGAAAGGGTGATAGGTTCACCAGCCAGAGCCTGCAAGGAGCTCACGTTTAGTGGGGATGGGGCGGAGTTCTTTAGCTTCCATGGGTGGGAGCAGAAGCCAGGGTCCAGGGGACTCTCACGCCTGTGCGCCAAGAAATGGACAAACCTGAGAAACCCTCATAACCAACAGTCATCAGGGGGAAAAGGCATCGTCCTGGACTGGACCAGAGTCTTAAAGATCATTATTAAGTTACAGGGAGACAAAATGAAAACTATTTTTAACACTAGCATGTGTGAACGTCGGATGGTGTACTGAACACCTCTGGGCTCATCACCTGCTCTCACATTTCATGGCCAGCCTTGGGCCACTGTTTTCCAATCCTCTCTCCTCCTCCTCCTGTTATTTGTGAACACTCTTACATTGATATTTATTTTTATATATGTCTCTATGTTTCACTTTATTAAGTCACCCTGAGATACAGTTCTGTACAGTAAAATGTACACAAGTCACAGTCGGACAAATTTCCATATATGCCTGTACTCCATGCGTGCCCAGCCTCTTCAGTAGTGTCCGACTCTGCAGTCCTATGGACTGCAGCCCGCCAGCCTCCTCTGTCCATGGGATTCTCCAGGCAAGAACACTGGAGTGGTTGCCACTTCCTCCTCTAGACGATCTTCCCGACCCAGGGATCGACCCCGCGTCTCCTGTGTCGTCTTTGTCTCAGGCTGATTCTTTACTGCCGAGCCAGTGGGAAGCCCTGCGTGCACCCTGTCTCAAGCCCTCACTAAGCACCACCGTGTGTCTGGTCTACGTCCAGATATAGAAACTTCCCGTCACCCCCAGAAAGTGCCCTGTGCCCTTGACAATCTGCATCCTCGGCTCTAGGTAACCACCAACCTCCTTTCTGTCGCTGCAGTTTTGTCTGTTCCAGAACTTTGTGTAAAGGAATCTATTCTTTTGTCTGGCTTCTTCAGCATACCATTTTGGAGATTCCCCCCTGTACACTGAAGAAAATCCCAAACATCCTGTCTTTCCATCGGGAAATACACAAGAAGAACTGAAAACAGTGACAGGACGTTTTCTCTTTTATCATGAGTCTCCCCATAGGTAGATCAGTATTTTTTTTCCCCATACTAGTGGAGGAAGCATTATTAGGGTTAGCAAACGTTCTGAGACTTGGACATCTTATCCCTGAGGCTCATCATTTAGCAGTGAGCTGGGAGTTGTGAGTGACCTCCTGACATTTTAATGGGGACAACAAAGCACACGGAATGAAAGCAAGCAGAATAAAGCGGTCCCTGTCTGCCCCCAAGTAAAGAGTTCAGGTGCTTCCAGCCGTGGAAGCTTAAAGAAGAGACAGATCAGTGTAGCCTGCAGTGATCGGGGGACTTGGGGCTCAAGCTGGACGTGGACGGACATGAAAGGTAGGACCATGGAAGGACATGGGCAGGTTTCAGGATGGAAGGTCAGCAGCAACAAAGGCTCAAAACATTTTCTAAACTGTGTGTTTTCTTCTCCACTAATACCTTCATCTCCCAGTTTCCATCAAAACCCAGACTCCTGGGGCTCCGTCTGTACAGAGACCAAAAGCTGGTCCAAGACTTTGGTTTCTCCCCTTGTTCATTCCCTTGACTTCCTTCCTCCAGCAGACACCACACACAGGCAGCCTTTCGCTGCTCCTGAGTAAGCTTGGGTCTCTTCTTGTAAATAGATTCTCAGCACAGTGTTCTCCGCCCTTCTCTAAGGAAATGTCCTTGCTCTGCTTCCCTGGAGAAAATTCATCCCCAGGCCAGTCTGCATGTCACTCCAACACGGACATTCGAGGAACAGGGGAGCCACTGGCCTCTTTCTTCCTAATGAATGACTTGCGGGCTTTCCATACCAGTCCTGCCGTCTGGTTTCTAGCATCATGTGGGCTGCCCGGGGGCCTTGCTGGGGCGGAGAGTCGCTGAGGACTTGCTTTGGCAGTGCCCTTGCTTTCTCCTCCGGTCCTGTTTCCGTCTCCCTCCTGGCTTCTAGCAGTGTGCTGTGTGATGCTGTCCACTGAGACGTGTTAGGGCAGCTAGAGGGAGAACTGGACTCTCTTCCCCTTAACTAACAGTCCGGTCCTGAAGTCTGATGAATCACAGGCTGGGGTGCTGAGCCAGGAAGCTCGGCTAGGTTTGGAGTCCTGTGGCTTTGGTGTGGAGTGGTGGGTGCTAGCCGCCCCTCCCTGGGACATGGAAGGTGCTGACATTTGCTCATCAAACCCCACAATTTAAAGGCACCCGACGCGGTGATCTCTAAAGCTCACTGATTGCCTAAATGAAGGTAAGATATGACCTCCAGCCTGTCCTTGTGTTTTTAGAGGTAAAGTATTTTGTTATGAGAGGGAGCTGGTCCCCTTCCCAGGTAAACTCTTTCAAGGATGTACCTGGAACCAGCATTTAGAGGAGGGGGGGGTGAGACATACTTGGATGGAATAATTAAGTTTTTAATGTTGGCTTAATTATTTCGTGAGCTAGAAAAGACTTCCCAAATATGCTAAGTCTGAAGTCTCTGGGGGTTTTTTGTTTTGTTTTCCAGAGCCTGAAAGTCATTCCATTCTATCACTGTTCTGCCAGTTGTAGGAGCCGTGTACCATCAAAGAGGAACTCCTGTGTGCATTTGAAAGAGAGGACTCAGTATAGCGCTCAGGAATACATCATTGAGAAATAGTGATAGCACAGCAATCAGCCCAGTCCCTTCGTTAAAGTCATGTGACATGAAACATCTACTGAACAGCCTTTTCTGTACCTGGGCTTCTCTGAGAGCGTGCTGACAAAGTATAACCATGCCCACGTAAAGTTGACAGTCTAAAACGGGGTTAAAACATAGCATCCTTCCCTATGCTAAAGAATGAAGTTGGATCCTTGCTTTCTACCGTATACAAAAGGGATTAAAAACCTAAATGTAAGACCTGAGACTATCAAACTCCTAGGAGAAAACATAGGTGAGGACTTTCACGACCTTGGCAGTGATTTCTTGCCTATGATACCAGAAGCACAGATGACAAAAGCAAAACTAGAGCTGAAACTCTCCCGTCTGTTCGGACAAACTGCCTTCCTCTCGCACCTTTAACATGGCTTGTTATCTTAAAGTCCCTGTGTGATAACCCTAGTATCTGGGTTGCCTGTGAGTCTGATTCTGTTGATTGCTGTATTTCTTGAATTGTTTGATTTTGTTGTTTGATTTTGAGGAGAGTAGTCTGGAGTTGTTTAATTTTGAGGAGAATAGTTTCGTTTGGGTGTTGGTTTGAGTTTTTTAGAATGTGCCTTAAAATGTTGCTCTGAATGCCAGGTACTGTTTGCAGAGGGGCAGTGGAGACTGGGTACGTAGTAATCACTCCTGGAGACGGGTTCGCAGGCTGCGCGCAAGAAGAGTTGGGTCAGTTTAATGAATAACTGAGAGGTTTGGGTGTGTTGTCACTGACTCTACCTCTACCGTGGTCTCCAAGTTTTCAGATTCCTTCGATGGTAGGACACTTACTTTGGTGAGGGGCGAGCAGTAGGTATGCAGTTGTTTTACAGGCTTTCCTGGTGGCTCAGATGGTGAAGAATCTGCTGCAGTGCCAGAGACGCAGGTTCAATCCCTGGGGTGGGCAGATCCCCGGGAGAAGGAAATGGCAACCCACTCCAGTTTTCTCGCCTGGGAAATCACATGGACAGAGGAGCCTTGCTGGCTACAGTCCATGGGATCACAAAAGATTCGGACACGACTTAGCAGCTAAACAACAGCCCAACTGCTCTCTGAGGCAGATTCTTATTAGCCCTGCCTTACAGATGAGGAACGAAGGTTCACAGAGGTCAGGCAGCTTGTCCAGGATTCAGAGGCAGGTCCCCCTGCGGTTAAAACCTGTACCCCAGCCGCTCCCCAGCTGCGCTGACCACTGCCCTGCAGGGATGGGGGGATTCTGAGGGCAGATGGTCCCGAGACTGGTGAAATTAAAGAGCTTAAAGGAGGTGAAAGATGCTGAAAAGGTGAAATGGTCACTGACTGGATGAGGAGCTTACGGAAATAGAGGAATTTATAGGAAGACTCCCAAGTTTCTGGCTTGAACAGATGGGGATGGGAGGTCCATGAAAGGAATGGGAAGTCTGAGTCAGTTGGCTGAACGCCTAAGACTAACACGTTGTCAGTCAACAGTATTTCAATACAAGAAATGTTTTAGAGAAAGAATGGGGACGGATGGCAATTTTTGGTCATGTTCAAAATGCCTATGGGACATCTCAGTGGAGAGGTCAGAAGGCAAAGGTCAGAGTGCAAAGAGAAACGGCTGCAAGGGGCGCCTGGACTGTCAGCCAGCCAGAGTCCTCGTCCTCCTCCCGGGCTGTGGACTAACGAGGTGCTCTCTGATTGCAGGCTCTCCAGGACCGAAGGGGAGTCCCGGCTTCCCAGGGATCCCAGGCCCCCCCGGGCAGCCTGGCCCACGGGGCTCGATGGGACCCGTGGGACCATCTCCTGACCTGTCCCACATTAAGCAAGGCCGGAGGGGCCCTGTGGTCAGTATTTCATCAGAGCTCCTACCTGTGGCTGGGGAACGCGTGTTCCTTCTGCTAAACAAGGTCCCTTTCCCTTGTAGGGTCCACCAGGCGCCCCAGGAAGAGATGGCTCTAAGGTAAGTCTTCCGAGTGGTCCTTACATGCTTCAGGTCCTCAGTCACCGCCTCCTTGCAGGCATCACCTGGAGCTCAAGTATGGTTCACTGGCCCCCTTGCATGTGGCCAAGTTGAGACACAGATATACTTTTTGTCCCCAAAGCTGGGAGGAAAATATAAAAAGCCATTTTCTTAAGATATGGAACAACCATAATAACAAAAACAGCCACAAAAACCACTTGGAAGAAAAAACGACCCCTATAAACATTAAACCTCCTGGTTGTCATGGTAGCATGTTTTTCTATTTAGCCAGGCTTCTCTGTGGGGCTGTTTTACTTGTGTTCCTAATTTCTTTGCTGTGTTTAAGTCAAGAACAGGAGAAGCTCCAGTCTCTGCAAGTGGGTGGTTTCGCTCTGGGGGGGCTGCCTGCCCCACCGGCCTCATAAAGTCAGTGTGAGTTACTTTAGATGCTTCTAAGCTATTCCACATGCTGCCTGGAAATACCAGCTTCCCTCCTTTCAGATCTGGTTGGAAAACACATGGCCTTGGGGGAAATGGAAATGAGAGGCACTTGACTCAAGCCTTTCAGTTGAGAGCAGTGGCCCCAAGAGTACAGCGGGAAGCTGACGTTTGCTTCCCGTAGGAGATACTTGCTGTCTTGTGTGGGGAGATGGTAGTGGTGGGGTCTAAATGGAGGCGGGGGTGGTGGCACCCATGTGGTCCAGACGCTAACCCTGACCCTTCTGTTTTCAGGGGGAAAGAGGCGCACCGGGTCCCAGAGGGTCTCCAGTAAGTAGCCCCACCTGTATTGCTTCCCCAGGGCAGCGTGCTCGGGGCTCCCTCTCAGGGGAGCCTTCCTAGTTGGTCTTGTTAGCAACAGCTGGCCCCTTGCAGCTGTGGCTCAGCCCCACGGAGAGCTCTGTGGTTACAGGAAGAATCACAACAGCCTTTTGCAGCTGGTTGGGTTTTACAAATCCACTTCCTGGGTTTTTTTGGGGGGGGTGTTTGTTTGTTTTTGTCATGGCTAATCTTTATCTGTGCTTCCCTGCTGGCTCATCGGTAAAAAACCCACCTGCCAATGCAGGAGACGTGGGTTTGATCCCTTGGTTTGGAAGACCCCCTGGAGAAAGGGAATGGCTACCCACTCCTGTGTTCTTGCCTGGAGAATTCCATGGACAGCGGAACTTAGCGGGCTACAGTCCATGGGGTGGCCAAAGACTTGGACACGACTTAGCGATGAAACAGCAATCACGACGATCTTTATTTGGAATGTCTTAAGACTCAAAACCCTAGTATGTCCTAAGTCTGTCTCCAGGTGTGTCTTACAGCATCGGAAGTGGCAGAGCTGAGGTTCAAATCCAAGAGAACCGCAGCCTCTTACCCACTGCTCTCCGCCTCCCAGGGCTCTTTGGAAGGTAGCCTAGGAGGGGCACTCTCAGATTCCGTCATTCTACCCGATTTGACGGAGCCTGAGAGCTAGGAGAAGCCCATGTGCCGCCAGAGCGCATCCGGGAGGCGAAGGAACACAGGGCGGCAGCCGCCAGCTGCTCTTTACGGGCCTGACGTTTCCCCAGCAGACGGCAGGGCAGCCGACCACGGCGCCCCCGGAAGCCCTGAGTCAGCCGAGGGGTGGGTCTCTGGTCGTCTGGTTTGACCCCTCTCTCCTGTGCAGGGACCCCCCGGTTCTTTCGATTTCCTGCTGATCGTGCTGGCGGAAATCCGTAACGACATCACCGAACTGCAGGAAAAGGTGTTCGGGCACCGGACTCACTCTTCAGCAGAGGAGTTCCCGTTACCTCAGGAATTTTCCAGCCCTCTGGAGACCCTGGACGAGGGCTCCGGAGATGACTCCCCAGGAAGAACTGAGACAAGAGACTTGGGAGCCCCCAGAGACTTCTATCCTTAGTGCATCCCACATCTTCATGCCAAAGGAAGAGTGTTTTCCCCTGCAGTGAAATTCTCCAAAGAACAAAATCAAAACATCCCTGGACACCTAAAAAAAGATACATTTTTTATTTTCTTTACTCTTTCCCTTTCTTCTTCCTACTTCTCGTCTTCCAGACACTGTTTCCAGAGTCTCCTGGTAGACATCCTAAAGACACCAGGAATGAAATGATTGATTTCAGTGCTTCCCCTGGAGAATCTACAGGGCAACTTTTATTTGAATTCCTTCTTTTCCAGGGACTTCTAATTTCTTAATTAGGTACTCACATTATCTTAAAATTTGGCAGACTATCAAAAAGGGGGGAAGAGTTCTAAGAAAATGTGACTTTCAGTTCAGTTTCTCAGTCGTGCCGGACTCTTTGTGACCCCATGAATCGCAGCACGCCAGGCCTCCCTGTCCATCACCAACTCCTAGAGCTTACTCAAACTCATGTCCATTGAGTCAGTGACACCATCCAACCATCTCATTCTCTGTCGCCCCTTCTCCTCCTGCCCTCAGCCTTTCCCAGCATCGGGGTCTTTTCCAATGAGTCAACTCTTCGCATCAGGTAGCCAAAGTATTGGAGCTTCAGCTTCACCATCAGTCCTTCCAATGAACACCCAAGACTGATCTCCTTTAGGATGGACTGGTTGGATCTCCTTGCAGTCCAAGGGACTCTCAAGAGTCTTCTCCAACACCATAGTTCAAAAGCATCAATTCTTCGGCACTCAGCTTTCTTTATCGTCCAACTCTCACATTGGTACATGACTACTAGAAAAACCATAGCCTTGACTAGACGAACCTTTGTCAGCAAAGTAATGGCTCTGCTTTTTAATATGCTGTCTAGGTTGGTCATAACTTTTCTTCCAAGGAGCAAGCATCTTTTAATTTCATGGCTGCAAACACCATCTTCAATGATTTTGGAGCCCCAAAAAAATAGTCTCTCACTGTTTCCACTGTTTCCTCATCTATTTGCCATGAAGTGATGGGACCAGATACCATGATCTTAGTTTTCTGAATGTTGAGCTTTAAGCCAACTTTTTCACTCTCCTCTTTCATTTTCATCAAGAGGCTCTTTAGTTCTTCTTCACTTTCTGCCATAAGGGTGGTATTATCTGCATATCTGAGGTTATTGATATTTCTCCCAGCAATCTTGATTCCAGCTTGTGCTTTATCCAGCCCAGCATTTCTCATGATGTACTCTGCATATAAGTTAAATAAGCAGGGTGACAATATACAGCCTTGATGTAGTCCTTTCCCAATTTGGAACCAGTCTGTTGTTCCATGTCCAGTTATAGCTGTTGCTTCCTGACCTGCATACAGATTTCTCAGGAGGTAGGTCAGGTGGTCTGGTATTCCCATCTCTTTCAGAATTTTCCACAGTTTGTTGTGATCCACACAGTCAAAAGCTTTGGCATAGTCAATAAAGCAGAAGTAGATAATTTTATGGAACTCTCTCGCTTTTTCAGTGATCCAACACATGTTCGCAATTTGATCTCTGGTTCCTCTGCCTTTTCTAAATCCTACTTGAACATCTGGAAGTTCACTGTTCACATCCTGTTGATGCCTGGGTTAGGGAATTTTGAGCATTACTTTGCTAGCGTGTGAGATTAGTGCAATCATGTGGTAGTCTGAGCATTCTTTAGCATTGCCTTTCTTTGGGATTGGAATGAAAACTGATCTTTTCCAGTCCTGTGGCCACTGCTGTTTCCCACATTTGCTGGCATATTGAGTGCAGCACTTTCACAGCATCATTTAGGATTTGAAATAGTTCAACTGGAATTCCATCACCTCCACTAGCTTTGTTCATAGTGATGCTTCCTAAGGCTCACTTGACTTCGCATTCCAGGATGTCTGGCTCTAGGTGAGTGATCACAACATCGTGGTTATCTGGGTCATGAAGATCTTTTTTGTATAGTTCTTCCTTGTATTATTGCCACCTCTTCTTAATATCTTCTGCTTCTGTTAGGTCCATACCATTTCTGTCCTTTGTTGAGCCCATCTTTGCTTGAAAAGTTCCCTTGGTATCTCTAATTTTCTTGAAGAGATCTCTAGTCTTTCCCATCCTATTGTTTTCTTCTATTTCTTTGCACTGATCACTGAGGAATGCTTTCTTATCTCTCCTTGCTATTCTTTGGAACTCTGCATTCAATGGGTATATCTTTCCTTTTCTCCTTTGCCTTTCACTTTTCTTTTCATAGCTATTTGTAAGGCCTCCTCGACAACCATTTTGCCTTTTTGCATTTCTTTTTCTTGGAGACGGTCTTGATCCCTGCCTCCTGTACAATGTCACAAACCTCCATCCGTAGTTCTTCAGGCAGTCTGTCTATCAGATCGAATCCCTTGAATCTATTTGTCATTTCCACTGTATGATCGTAAGGGATTTGATTTAGGTCATACCTGAATGGTTTAGTGGTTTTCCCTACTTTCTTCAGTTTAAGTCTGAATTTGGCAATAAGGAGTTCATGATCTGAGCCACAGTCAGCTCCCTGTCTTGTTTTTGCTGACCGTATAGAGCGTCTCCATCTTTGACTGCAAAGAATGTAATCAACCTGATTTCGGTGTTGACCATCTGGTGGTGTCCATGTGTAGAGTGTTCTCTTGTGTTGTTGGAAGAGGGTGTTTGCTATGACCACTGTGTTCTCTTGGCAAAATTCTATTAGCCTTTGCCCTGCTTCATTCCGTACTCCAAGGCCAAATTTGCCTGTTACTCCAGGTATTTCTTGCCTTCCTACTTTTGCATTCCAGTCCCCTGTAATGAAAAGGACATCTTTTTGGGGTGTTAGTTCTGGAAGGTCTTGTAGGTCTTCATAGAATTGTTCAACTTCAGCTTCTTCAGCGTTACTGGTTGGGGCATAGACTTGGATTACTGTGATATTGAATGGTTTGCCTTGGAAACGAACAGAGATCATTCTCTTGTTTTTGAGATTGCACCCAAGTACTGCATTTCGGACTCTTTTGTTGACTATGATGGCTACTCCATTTCTTCTAAGGGATTCCTGCCCACAGTAGTAGATATAATGGTCATCTAAGTTAAATTCACCCATTCCAGTCCATTTTAGTTCACTGATTCCTAAAAATGTCTTGCCAACTCCTGTTTGACCACTTCCAACTTGCCTTGATTCATCGACCTATTCAAGGTTCCTATGCATTATTGCTCTTTACAGCATTGGACTTTACTTCCATCACCAGTCAAATCCACAACTGGGTGTTGTTTTTGCTTTCGCTCCATCTCTTCATTCTTTTTGGAGTTATTTCTCCACTAATCTCCTGTAGCATATTGGGCATCTACCGACCTGGGGAGTTCATCTTTCAGTGTCCTATCTTTTTGCCTTTTCATACTGTTCATGGGATTCTCAAGGCAAGAATACTGAAGTGGCTTGCCATTCCCTTCTCCAGTGGACCATGTTTTGTCAGAACTCTCCACCATGACCCATCCATCTTGGGTGGCCCTACACGGCATGGCTTACTTTCATTGAATTAGATGAGGCTGTGGTCCATGTGATCAGAATGGTTAGTTTTCTGTGACTGTGGTTTTCAGTCTGTCTGCCCTCTGATGGAGAAGGATAAGAGGCTCATGGAAGCTTCCTGATGGGAGAGACTGACTGAGAGGTAAACTGGGTCTTGTTCTGATGGGCGGGGCCATGCTCAGTAGATCTTTAATCCAATGTTCTGTTGAAGGGCGGGGCTGTGTTCCCTCCCTGTTAATTGACCTGGGGCCAAACTATGGTGGAGGTAATGAAGATAATGGTTCAGTTCAGTCACTCAGTCACGTCTGACTCTTTGCGACCCCATGAATCACAGCACGCCAGGCCTCCCTGTCCATCTCCAACTCCCAGAGTTTACTCAAACTCATGCCCATCGAGTTGGTGATGCCATCCAGCCATCTCATCCTTTGTCGCCCCCTTCTCCTCCTGCCCCCAATCCCTCCCAGCATCAGGGTCTTTTCCAGTGAGTCAGCTCTTCGCATGAGGTGACCAAAGTACTGGAGTTTCAGCTTCAGCATCAGTCCTTCCAATGAACATTCAGGACTGGTCTCCTTCAGGATGGACTGGCTGGATCTCCTTGCAGTCCAAGGAATTCTCAAGAGTCTTCTCCAACACCACAGTTCAAAAGCATCAATTTTTCGGCACTCAGCTTTCTTCACAGCCCAACTCTCACATCCGTACATGACCACTGGAAAAACCATAGCCTTGAGTAGACGGACCTTTGTTGGCAAAGTAATGTGTCTGCTTTTTAATATGCTATCTAGGTTGGTCATAACTTTCCTTCCGAGGAGTAAGCGTCTTTTAATTTCATGGCTGCAATTACCATCCGCAGTGATTTTGGAGCCCCAAAAAATGAAGTCTGACACTGTTTCCACTGTCTCCCCATCTATTTCCCATGAGGTGATGGGAACAGATGCCATGATCTTAGTTTTCTGAAGATAAGGGTGACCTCCCTCAAAAGGTCCCATGCAGGCACTGCTACACTCATGCCCCCAGCCCTGCAGCAGGCCACCGGCAACCCACGCCTCCGCCGGAGACTCCTGGACAGTCACGGCGAGTCTGGGTCAGTGTCCTGTGGGGTCACGGCTCCTTTCTCCTGGGTCCTGGTGCACAAGGTTCTGCTGTGCCTCCAAGGGTCTACTCCCCAGTCCTGTGTAAGTTCTGGCGGCTCTGTGGTGGGTGAATGGCGACCTCCTCCAAGAGGGCTTCTGCCATGCCCAGGTCTGCTGCACCAGAGCCCCCGCCCCTGCGGCAGGCCACTGCTGACCCAGACCTCCTCAGGAGATGCTCACACACAGCTCTGTCTCAGTCGTGTGGGGTCCCTGGGTCCTGGTGCCCTTGTTTGAGCCCTCTGAGCGTCTCTGGCGGGAATGGGGTTCGATTCTTCACCCCCCCTACCATCTTGCTGGGGCTTCTCCTTTGCCCTTGGACATGGGGTATCTCCTCACAGTCATTCCAGAATTAGTTTACTTATTTAAAAAAATAGATAGATGCATGTCCCAAAATAGACTACTACACCTCCATGTCAAAATTAACCATTTTCAGTGAAAAGGGGGAGATGACAATATATATTTACCTCAGTGGATGATTCTTTTTCCTTGTCAATCTGACAGATGTAAAATATTCTATCCTCCTACCCAACCTTGTTTACCCGAGTTCCATCCCTGGGTCAGGAAGATCCCCTGGAGAAGAGAATGGCAACCCACTCCAGTATTCTTGCCTGGAGAATCCCATGGACTGAGGAACTTGGCAGGCTACAGTCCGTGGGATTGCAAAGAGTTGCACATAACTGGGCAACTAATACTTTAGTAATTTTGATTAAAGAGAGGAGTGGAGATTAGAACAGATGGAGAAAAATCACAGTCCCACACAGACTGCCCTCTAAGCAGCCACATATTAACACTCAGATTCGACTGTTAAGGGCTTCCCAGGTGGCGCTGGTGGTAAAGAACCCACCTGCCAATGCAGGAGATGTAAGAGGTGCAGGTTCGATCCCTGAGTTGGGAAGACCCCCTGGAGGAGGGCATGGCAACCCACTCCAGTGTTCTTGCCTGGAGAACCCCATGGACAGAGGAGCCTGGTGGGCTGCTTGTCCTTGGGGTCGCACAGAGTCGGACACGACTGAAGCAGTTCATCACGCACGCACGTGATTGTTAAGTGTTCATGCTACACTTGTCTATGACTATCCTATTCAAAGAAGAAAATTACTCTCGCTGTAAGAATAAATCCTGTTTTCAAGATAAAAAGTGAGTGACTGCAGTGCCCTGGCTCACATAAGAACAGTGAGTTTCTGGTTGGCCCGGGCATTTTAAAGCTGTTGGGCTGGCCAAAAAGTTCCCGAATGTTCGAGAAATTTCTGGCCAACCCGATATTTGATCAAATGAGTGGGCTTACTTAGTAAATCACAAGATTATTTGTTAAATAAAGGTACCTGACCCCTGGGGAGAGGTGCAGAGTTTCCTGGCTGTGAACCGGTGCCCGCCAGATGCCTTTAGGCTGTGACCCAGGTTGACTCAATGGACAGCAGATCTCAGGGCTGGAAGGAGGGTGCTTGGCTTCAGTTGCTGGCCTGGGAGTGGGGTGATGGTTAGGGGTAGACAGGAGAACCTTGGGCAGGGGCACCTCTGCGTCACAGAAGCAGGTAAACTGGGGCTTCCCTGGTGGCTCAGCTGGTAAAAAAGAATCCGCCTGCAATACAGGAGACCCCAGTTCCATTCCTGGGTCAGGAAGTGCCCCTGGAGAAGGGACAGGCTCCCCACTCGTTTTCCTGGGCTTCCCCAGTGGCTCAGATGGTAAAGAATCTGCCTGCATGCGGGAGACCCAGGTTTGACCCCTGGGTTGGGAAGATCCCCCGGAGGACGGCATGGCAACCCACTGCAGTATTCTTGCCTGGAGAATCCCCGTGGACAGAGGGGGCTGGCGGGCCACAGTCCATGGGGTCACAAAGAGTCAGACACAACTGAGCAATGAAGCACAGGAATTAGAAGCCCTTGTCTTGGGGCCAGCCAAGCTTGCCAGCATATTGAAAATAATACATAATTGAAAGATCTCTTGAATGGGGAGTGGAAAAACAATAGTCTTCCTCGTTTGCCAAAAATTTCCTTCCCACCCTTCCCATTTTTCCTTAATTTTCCATAATTTAGTCCAAGTTCCAGTTCTTGTAGGTCTTCTTGCTTTCCCCTCCCCAGCAAACACAGGAAGCTGTTGGAAACTATATTCCCAAAGCTCCCCTGGAGTCGTGTTTGCTCTTACACCTCTGGGTCCTAGAGGGACCCACATTCTGGAAAAGGCTTTCTCTGGATCCCCAGGGGCAAGTGCTCAAGGGACCCGCAGGAGTGTCTTCTCCTTTGGAATATTGCTGGGGGAGCTCGTGGTCTTAAGGGGCAGCTTACAGGTTCCTTCATATCTGCTTTGTCGTTTGACACCCAGGATGGTATTTCATGGACCCGTTCAGGAGACCTCTGCCCGTGTGTTGAGCATCACATGAGACCACCGTTACAGCTTCTCTTTGCTCGTGTTCCCATTTCTCACCCCGCAGTGTCCCCCAGAATTTCCCGGTGATTTGTGATTAATTTTCTTTCTTCATCTCCTTTAACGCCGCCATCATTTCACTCTCCTGGGAAAGCTTGTTTAAAGACAATCATGGCGGCTGTTCCTATTGCCACCTCTCAGTCTTCCTTCAGAACGACAGGAAGGGCTACGTGTGCAAATCTGAAGTGACACCAGCCTTCCTTCCCTCGTCCCACCCTGTCAGAAACAGGGCTCCGTCAGCCAGCCGGTGGCCGAGTTTTTCACCAGCATGTGACTCCTCTGTTCCTTCCCTGCACCAAGTCCCGGGCGGCTGTCCACCCCAACGCCCCAGCTGAACGCAGACGCCTCCTCAGAGCTCCTTTCCTGGAGTCCCTGCTGCCCGCTGCAGTCTCTCCAGAACCTAACCTTCACAGCAGGAGCCCTCACCCAGCCCGGGTTCCCAGAGATGAGCTCAGCAGACGTTGATTCCCGTCTGGAATGTATTGAATGTTTGCCTGCTTGTGGAACGCAGTATTTAAAGTGTGTGGATGGATGAATGCTAGGGAAAAAAAAATTATGCGTAGGCTCTAAGAGAAATGAGCTTCATCTTTGATTTTTTTAATGAAGAATTTTATCACCTTTTAAACAGTGAACTGTATGTAGAAATATCATTTTTTTCCTTCTATATTATTGAGTACTCATAAAATGCAACTAAACTGCATGTTTGGCCAAAAGCTAGGATAATATATTAATGGAATGAATGGAATAACAGAATGAATGGAAGGTGGAAATATCTGGGATTTATGAGATGATTCTGAATAGTATTTTCTAGCAAAATACACAATAACCTGTATTTTATCATCTCAGTCTGCTGGATTGGACAACTTGTAAAATAATTATTTATCCTCAGATTTCCAAAGCTTGGACTACTACCATAAGATAAAATATATACTCTTTATACCCAAATTATATTTTTCAAAGATAAGATATAATAATGCATTGTTATTCCTAATGTATCTTTTAGCTCTGGATGGAAAACCAAAGCTTCACTGTCTAAACAGGACTTCTGCTTAGAACCCAATAGAATAGGCTTTCGGGGGGGGGGAAGGGGGCATAAAATTTGTTAGTCTGAGTAATCTGCTTTGTGTTTCATGGAGGGAAAGGTCTTTCCCAGAAATGTTGACTTCAGTTTTTTGCACTCTGATAACTAGAACTTAGAATAGGACTTTATAGATTGGCTCTGTTTCAGAAAGCAATGGACATAAAATTCTCCTATCCAAAAGAGGAGGGGGTACATTTTAGTTTAAGAAAATCCTCCTTCCTTTCCAATTGCAGAGGGAGACATTACAAGCTTCACAATGCCAAAGCCCGGTGCTAAAGGAATGCTGTCTTGTCTGTCCTGTGTTAATTCTAACACCTGCCACGGAATGAACTGGCCAACTAAAGTCATTTCTACCGTATAAACTCAGACAAGTGTGTTTCACAGCCAAGCAGGCAAATAACAAGTGCACGTTGGCGTTTGGTGTGGGGGAGGGGGAGTTCACTCCACCAGATACCAGGCAGAGGGCCCCTGACTGTGGCCCTGCTCCCTTTCCGGGTTCGTTTGACTGTTGGCCCCCGAAGCCTGCCGCCAGGCCCACGGGAGACAGTATGCTTCATGACTAGGCGCCCGGCATCTCCCTGGGTTGACAGAAGACCCCTCCTCACTTCCCCCCCTCCCCCACTCCAGCCTGTGACAGAGCAGTCTCAGTGAGTAACCTTAGTATCTTTCAGATGACCTTCCCTGAAAAGGAAGTTTATCCACAGGAATCCAGGCCAAACAACTAGTAGAATAGAGCCATCTAAAGTTTTTAATAATGAGTTCAGGGAAACAGATGGAAATTTTCCTGGCACAGTCAGCATGTATGTTTCACAAGAAATCAAAAAATAATTTTCCATTTGAGAAAAAAAAAAAGACGACTGTAATTGTTAAAGCATAAAACCTTGGACTTCACATGCTCCTGCAACAAATACCGCCTTAGAGATATCCTAGAAAAGAAAGACCCTTTTACACATCCCCCCCAGAGACTTCACATTCTTTATGTGAGATCCTCAAAGCAAGCACCCCGGGGAATTCCATGTGTGTTGTGACTCCATTTTTATTTCCAGTGCCTAGCCATATACTTCAGTAGCTGTGTTCATTATTTATAACAGGTCCATATAACTAGTATTCAGTTATGGATGTGATACTATGAAGTGCTTTTGGTAAGATTATATATGCCTAATAACAAAGTTATTTTTCTTACATGGTTGTACTGTGTTTTTTCTTGACACCCAGTCCTGAAGAAGTCTGTATACAGGTGATGGAGAAAGAAGTTTCTCTTAGGAGCCAGAACCTGCATTCTGGGTAGACTTACCCCTGGGGGGCTGGGTGTGGTCCCAGCATTTGAGTCTGAGCCAAGGTCTTAGGACCCAGCTTCCACCAAATCTGAGTCTCAGGGGCTCACCTCCCAAGTTGGGGCGATCCCCTGGGACCCCCATAGTGGGATTTTCAAACCCGGAACCCTCTGAGGATCATTGGAGATGCTTTAGGGGGAAGCTTGTGAGGGCATGCCCCACCTGCCCACCACCACCCCGGCCCCTGCAACTCCCACGGCACCGTGAACAATTCAGCCTTCACTTGGTTTGAGATTAGAATTCCATGTAAAGTTTCCTTTGAAGGGGAAAAAAAGCTGACTACCTAAAAAAGAGGTTAAAATAGAGTTTGGGGGAAAAGCCCCATGCATGGTAGCTGAAGTTTCCTTATGTGAAGATAAGAAGGGAATTCTCATCAGTTGGGCCTTGGGAGGTGGAGTTACATAATAACAGGTTATTTCTAAGCATTATGTAGCACTCTTTATCAGGGTACCTCAAACACCCCCCAAATTAGTTTATGTTTATACATCTCACTTTTCTTCAGCAAATATTTATCAAATGCTTTTTGTCTGCCGCACACTTCACTGTGCACAGCAGACTCGTGGGAGCAAAGAGTCATAATCCCCATCCTCCTGGGGATTTTTGGCAAAACAGACACAGATCCTTCCAGGCAAAATGAATTAATTACAAAGTATACAGTCACAAGCTGTGATTTGCTATGAATGAAAAGCGCTGGGTAAGAGCTCATGCCCACAGGGCCCGCCTCTCCATTCCCTTGCACGCGGAGCGTCTCACACACACACCACTCTACAGCATCCACGCCAGGGCCACACAAGACCGCCAGCCCTTGCAGAGAAAAGCTTCGTGAACACCCTGGATGGACCAGCGGCCAATGGAAATCTCCAAGACCCCTTCCTACAGGATGTTTCCAGCCTTCCTGATGGAAAAATTGGCTTAGTGAACCGAAGGCTGGGTGATTGCCTGTGGATACTCCATGCGTGCGGTTGACTGGTAACCTCATGTGCCCCAGTCTTGGTTCCCGGCAGAGTCTGAGCTTCATTTCCTCCCAGCCAGGCCACGACAGCTGTGAAAAGGCTGCCTGTGGTTTGGGACGGCCCCCCAGCTCAGGTGCGGATTCTCACCACCTGCCCACGTCTGGATAACGAGGTTACCAGCTGGGCCAGGTGGGAACCCGCGCTCAGTGGCTGGGGGCTCCACACACAACAGGCGAGTCGGCCAGGGCTGGGGGGGGCAGTTGCTGGTGAGCTGCAAGGTTCTGGGGAAACTGATAGAGATGCGTGTTCGTTTAATCCCACGACCGGGGGATTAAACAACAGAAATATGTTTTCTTATGGTTCCGGGAGCTGGAAGTCCAGTGGGGGTCAGCGGGGCGGGCGCCTCCCGGAGGCCCCGCGGGAGAGGCCATCCCACGTGTCTCGCCAGTTGCTGGGGCTGCTGGCGGTCCCAGCCCCTGCGTGTCTGACGTCACGTGCCACCCTCCCTGCCAGTGTCCTGCGCCTTCATGGGCATTCTTCTTTCCATGTGTTCTGGGTCTCTGTTTTCCCTTCTTTTAAAGACCTGCCCTAATCCATTATGACCTCATCGCAGTTATACCTGCAAAGACCCTACTTCCACATAAGGTCACATCGAGAGGTTCTAGGTGGACGTGAATTTTGAGGGGGACCCCATTCGACCCAGTACAAGAAGAAACTGTCCTCCCTACCCATTGACCCCTGTCACCCTGCTTATATCCTTTAACAGCTTTTTTTTTCCAATCTGAAATTCTTAACTGGTTCCCTTCATTGAAAACAAGTTTACTGAGGGCCAAAGATAGAACAAGGGATGCTACGAAGACCCTGATGGCATAGAGTCTGCCTTTTGGTCTAGGAAGACAAACAGAGATATGTTTTAGGGTTCTGCAGAGAAACATAACCAATAGGATACATATATGTGGGTGGATCGAGAGGTAGATACAGATGTGTATATATATGTACACACACACAGATTTAATGAATTGGCTTGTAGTGATTGTAGAAGCTGGCAAGTCTTAAAACTGTAGTGTAGGCTGGCATCATGGAGACCCAGGGAAGAGCGGATATTGCAGTTTGATTCTAAAGATAGATCCTGGCAGAATTCCTTCTTCAGGGTCAGTGTTTTTCTGTTAAGGTCTTTGAGTCGATGAGGCGCATCCACATTACAGAAGCTGTACGCAAAGTCTACTGATTTAAATGCTTATCTCATCTTTAAAAAGTGCCTTCCCAGAAACATCTGGAATCATGTTTGCTCACTTATCTAGATGCTGGTACCACATTCTATGCCTAGCCAAGCTGATACATAAAATAGGACATTACAGTACGTATAAGGTATTAAAAAGAGCTATGGGGGGAAATTAGGGTAGAGGAGTATAGCAACGGAGGGTGGGAGTATGTATTTTAGGTGGGGCCTCCTGGGAATAGCTTACCAACAAAGGGGCTGTGAGCAGAGGCCTTCGTGGAGAAGTGAGCCTCGTGGCGATGCTTGCCGAAGAGTGACCGCGGAGACGCGCCTTGAGGAGGACCTGCTTGGGGTGCTCAAACAGTAGCG